AACTTTTTGATAAAGTATTTTAAAAATATTTATTTGGTTTGCATTTAATTATTTCCAAACAATTTATTATTTTTTTTGCTCTTATACAGACTTAAAGAAGAGGTCATATGACATGACAGATTTTGATTGAGGGACAAAGGGAGACAAAAACATGAAACAGAACATTTTAATCCTATGTGCCACATATAGACAATTTACAGTTGTTACTCTTACAAGATTTCTATACATATATAAATAAATATACGCGTAAGGGTGTAAAAAACAATAAATAATTTATTATTTTCAATTAAACGAGAAGGACAAAAAATAAATAAATATTTAATGTAAAATAATATTTATCTTTTGAAGATAGAACAAGCAATGTCAGAATGTATTGAAAAAAGTTAAATCTGACGTTAAATATAAAACTTGTACGTTTATATAAATAACCACTTTATTGTATTACTTTCTTTTCATAAATAATATATTTTAAAAGTATAAAAAATATATCAAATTTTAACTAACATATTTATAAATGTCTTAATATACTTCATTATAAAAATATATAAGATAATTTAATAATTAAATATGTAAGTTTGACACTTACTGTATTGGATCTTGACTCTTAAAAAATATTGTCAGATATTAATTGGATGTTGAGTTAATTTATTTTAATATAAATTTTATTTAATATGTAATTTGGAGATGACTAGGTTTCTATTCAACGGGTCGCCTTGGATTCCGTAATTTTATAATTTTAGATGAAAAGAAAATAACCTTTCCTCGTTGGAAAGAAACATGGGATAATATAAAACAATTCTGGCTCTGTTGATTTTTCATTGGACAAAGTGCCATGGGCTTTGAAAATTTGAGATCAACAGTTTTGAATAAAGTACTAAATAATTAAAATTTTTCACTTCTCGCAGAGCTTACATTGTAACTTATGTAAACTTCATTTTCAGTTTTATACAAACAGACAATGAGATCAAATGCATATCGATTAATGTGCATTAAATATTTTTCATTTTTTGGGGAATCAATTTCTACAATTTTCAACTATAAACCAATTAAAGCCTCTGTATCATGATTAAGAGCAATTCACACTTTCTGCTAGATAGATGAACTGGCGATGTGCAATAGTAAGTATATTAGCACATATCATGTTATAAATATTTTTTTTAATATCTATCTAAACAGAGATAATAAAAATTCAAATATAATATTTGTTTTTGAATATTATAATATAATATAATATAAGTTTATGATTTTTTAACGTATGTTCAAAGACACTAAATAAAAAATTATGTATGATACATTTTTTATAAAATAATAAAATATCATAAAATTTAATGTATTACTAAAATTGAATGCTATAATATTTTTAATAAAAATTTATGAATAACGATTCACTTACTTAAGAGTAAGTTTTGGTAAACTTACTGCATTCAATAATTTTTTACATATTTATTGATATTAAAATTGTCTAAAATTGTATGTTTATGTATTAACATAATTAAATGTTTTTAAATTTATATTCTATAATAATATATTATTATAGTTAGTGAATCTTCACCTAAATTTATTATTTATTAATATTTTATTATGTATTTTTGAATACGTGTTAAAAAAATCATATTATAAATAATTAATGGGCAAAATCTCTAATATTTTTTGGTGAATATAGCATCCATGCTACTAAAATTTACATTATTGGTTATGGTTATGTTAGGGAAGATATCGCACGAAGATAGAGTACGTATATAGGAGATGTAAGATTTGATATCTATGATATATTTTCCAACTTGATTTAGCAGTTGCAAGTTCATACCTATCTTAAGGAAAAACAGAAGAACATAGTGAACAAAGAAGAAGAAAGATCCATACCTATCTGTTTGACTCATTATGAGTAATCCCACAAAATAATTATAATAATTAATAACACCACACAATCCCACAACAGAAGAACATAGAGAGCAAAGAAGAAAGATCCATACTTATCTGTTTGACTCATAACGAGTTATCCCGAGAAATAATTATAAATGATTAATAATAACAAAAAATAACAAGAAAGCAAAAAACAAACTTAAGACAACGACTACATATTAGGAATAGAAAAACAGCAATTGGCCCAACTCGTTGATATTAATGTGTGGTTCTTCGTCCTTCTACCTTTCGCTATATTTTTTTTTCCATTCCTTTTTCATTTTGTCTTTGTTTCTTTCTTCTTTTAGTTAGTGGAAAATTTTATATGGTATGTGGAAAATTTTATATGGTATGTGGAAAATTTTATATGGTATTTGCACTTATATAATGTATCCAAAAAAGGGGCTAAAGCAACAAAGTGTTAAGAAAAAGGAGGCATAAGGTGCCACAAAGGAGTTCTTGCTGAGTGAAAGTTGACTTAGTACCTTAAATGAAAAATGTTTTGTTCTTAAAAATAATTGGCCGGCTTAAGATAATGAATCTCAAAGCAGAATCTACATATCGGTAATTGAATTCCAATGGCTCGTAGAGCCAAATCTTATATAAAAACCGTTTCTTTTGTAATTAATTGTTTTCTTACTATATTTTAACACAAAATGCCTATATGAGACATTCTACGAAAACAGCCCAAACTTGAAGCGTAAGGACATTTAGACTTGAACATAGTGTAGTTACTGTATACCAAAGGGCTAAAGATTGACTTGTGATTTATCCTCGCTAAGAGTTTCTAGCTTAAATGGTCCAATTTAATAAATGTACCAACTATATAAGAATGATTCTATGAATGTGACACAACTAGTTAACTAGTATGCAACGGCTTCATAGTTTCAAATACCCTAAAATGGCCTTAACTTTCCAATTTGCCTTTTGGAAAATAACATGATTAACATCCTCCGTATGTAATGCAATTATGTCGGGGTTTAGGTGCTTGTTGTGAAACATGCATGAGTTAATTGATCAGCTTAATAGGGTACACAGATAGGTGTACTTTGCTGATTGTTTGTTGTTTGTACAATTGACTCTATATTTTGAAGTCAATTTTGAAATTGCTTTAACCATATTACAAGTTTGATTTGAAATAGCTCTTTCTCTCTACATACTTTGTCTGCAAAAGTCTGATCATTTAACGGGATTTTAGTTCATCAGGCTCACTTCTGAAACTTTTAGCCATAAATTTAGATTAATTGCAAAATTTTAATAAAAGCATGAAGGAAAACTATGATTGATGACAAAGTCTACTAAACAAGCTTCTTTATGCTAGGAGTCACTAGTTAATTACTGCTATAACCATAGGTAACCGTTTCTCAAATTCCAGCTATGCTAGTTATGACACTTAACACTTGATCAAGTAAATTTTTTAATACAACAACAATAATAATAAGTGACGAGATATATTACTAATTATGAATAAATAGTGCATATATATGTAATTTTTTTATTCATTTACTACCATCCCATTTATATGTTTAATTTCAGTAAATACGATAAGTATATTTTTTTAATCAACAATTAAAGATAGTTCTTTTGAGATATAAAAATTTGCCAAAATAAATGGTCTCTGGTAATAAAAACATTGTTTTTTACTTGCATACATGCTCTAAACATAATTCTACCAACATGCTTAAGAATATAGCTATTTTCTTACCATAAAATTTTTAGGAGAAAGAGACAGTGCTCACATAAAAAAAAACTTACATTTATTTCACTTTAAGAAAATAAATAAAGGCTCAAACATATAACTTGTCATCTGTGAAACTCTATTTTACTCCATTCAGCCAACTTCTTAGTTTAAAAGCAACATAGCTACTTGCTAACTGTCAAATTTTCTTGATTCTTGTTGGTATGGTTTAAACCAGTAAGCAAATTAATCAAAGGATGCTAGGGTAAAAAACTCCAAGGTTTTAATATATTGAAACAACCATTAATTACCTAAGCTAAAACGAAATAAACCGGTTACGTCAAATGTTGTTATCAAGCTAGAGGCATGAACGGTTTAAGGTGATGAAAGCAGCAACTATATTCCATTATGACATAGTAAATCGCCTAAAAGGAAACGCCAGATTCTCGACTAAGCAAAATCTTGAATAGAAAATTGAACTTATTCCTAATGCTACCCACCTCTCCCACGAGTTGATGGGCCAGAGCCAACTCATGCACCTACGACTAAGTATGAAAACTCAGGACCACTTCTGATGAAATATCGGACACAGTGAAGAACCCACTTGAACCTGCACTAATGAGAATATATAATAAAATAACAGTTAATAAACATTGCCACTTATAGCTCCATAGTTGTTAAAATATTGCCATTTGTTTGGTCACCTTCTCCGGACATTTGCTTGCACCCTTCTATTTTTAGTTTGAGAAATGAGAATCTTCATATAAGCAAACAAAATAAGGGGAGAGAAAAGAGGATAGACATAAGATTTAAGTAATCACGCTCAATCATAGGCAAAAATAATACTTATATTTAATTCAATGGTAATATTTTTTTCATATAAGATAATTCATGAGGTTTTCAATTTAGTTATTCTAAAATGAGTAAATTTTATCACTAATTTATATTAAAATATTTCTTAAATTTAACTAGCTTCTTAATTAATACTGATGGTTGATTTAATATATAATATAATGATTGATTTTAATATTGATATAGTTTTATTCAAATTATTTTATTTCTGTATAGTTATTATAATAAACAAAAAATTATTTGTAATTACTCAAAATTCACTGATATTAAAAAATTATTAAACATATGCTTATTTTAAAAAATATGTAAATTATTATAAAATAATCTAAAATGAGTCACAAATGTATAATAGTAATGTTATTTTAAATTTTGTTAACAGTACTTTTTACTATAAGAGACATAAAATGAGAAGATGAAACAAATGCAATATCATACAAAGCGATAAAAAAATTTAAATTATATAAAATGTCATAAAAAAAAATTGTGAGAGTAGCATTATTTATATATATAAAAAAAAATAGATGAACTTGGTACTAAAGGGTGGCACCCTTTGGATCCTTGAATGCCGAAGTCCATTGGTAGTTTGGCTTCTAGTTCCATAACACTTGTACGATTTTTTGGCCCCCTCTCTGCTTATTCTTCTCTCTCCCTCTCTCTCTCTCTCTCTCTTCTTCGTGTAAGTGTACTCTCTGTGTGTTTTGCTCCATTTAGTAACGACATGACTCCAACCTAATGGGATGTTTATCTGCTTCTTCGTAGAAACCGATGTTGCTACTCATTTTTCTTCTGCTTTTGCCACTCACTCTTAGATGTGAATGCTATTCTTTTCTTTGCTTCATCTTCTTCCTACTAATGGGCCTTGTTGTCAACTCAATCTATTGAACTCACTTAAGTGCTCTTTTGCATATCTTTTTGCCTTTTTCTTATATTTTTATTTTTTCTCATCTTACCTTGTCTCCTTATCTCCACTTGCATGTTCCACTTGGGAGCATTAAAGTTCCTAGTCCTTATAGCTTAGGAATAATCTTAAACTTGTTTATATATATATATATTTTTTTATTAATATGCTATGCAAATTAAAGTTTTGTTTTTTATGTCTTTTTTTTATTTTATTTATTTCAGCTCCTATTTCTTGATGTCCATGTTGAAAGCTGAATAAAATTTGAGGTAGAACCACAGTTTCTAGGAACTTGGTACAGCTAAAAGAATCTTGGTAATTATAGGTAGACAATACATAGACATGCCTCCTGGATCTTTGTTATTTCTCTTTGTTGCAAAATTGTTCTTTTTAACTTTGGCTGCATATTATTTCACTTGAGTTCCTAACTAGTAACTACTTTTCAATAGAGGAATTAGTTTACTTTATTAACTGTGTAATAAGTCATTGATTGGATCATTTTGAGGCTATAGATGGCGATGCAAACGGTTTATTTGAAAGAACATGAAGGGGTTGTCCACAATTCTGTTGGACAGTTATCATCTGCAACTTCAGCTCCATGGTGGAGTGCCTTTGGATCTCAATCAGTTTGTGGGGAGTCTTGTGGCCAAATGAAACCCTTTTCATTGGAGCTTCCCAACTATGTAGACCAATTGGCCACCGGCAAGCAATCAGCACGAGGCGTTGAACAATTGTTGGATAGAGGACATACAACCCAGTTTACTATCTTTCCAGGTATTTAATTTGGTTTTTGATGTCTCTTGTATGTTTCTATCTGAGTTGCATAATTTTCCACCCTTGTTTATACCAAAATGCAATTTATATGAATTGTTGTGATAGTTGTAAGTATATATATTTGATGTCGCAAATACAATAAAAATTAGAGAGATGGATATCCTGCCAGGTGGCTTATGGTAAGAACCATCTGGATAATACAATTTGCCTGCCTGTTTTGGAGCAATCTAGGGAAGCTACAGATTTGGATGACCAACTCTTTTTAGAAAATTAAAAAAAATTTGCATTTGTTTGTGTAACAGAGACAAGAGAGAGTTTGATTCTAGTAGCACTGAAATTACAACCGAATCTTCAAAGTACCTATGGAGTAACTTAGGATGTCTAATGAGTTTATGGTCTTATATGCAGTAATATTAATTTACTAGTCCCGTGTCGATGAATTCAACGTTTTACCAGATAATGGCAGTCCTAAACTAAAGAAGTACTTATATTCAGTTATCACATTAGTCTATTTCAGATATCTCCTCTTAATTTCTCGTTTCAACCTTCATTTTGTTGATCCAACTTTTTAAATAAAATCATTGGTTAACTTCAATTCTGTGATATTCATGTCTATTTCTATTCATTTCCAACTGACTTGGAAAGCTTTGATTCCCCTCCCAGCTTTCAGCATGAGCTTCTTGAGCTTTCCTTACTTAGGTAGTATGAGAGAGTATGAGACTGTAATCCATTGTAAGATTAGCGTCGCTGCGCATAATTCAGAACTGATACGGCAAACAACATTCTTTTCTTTTAATCTCAAGATGGCGGAAATATATTGCAGGAAATCTTTCTATGGTCAACTTTTGGATTTGTTTTTCTTCCATGAATAGGACATGGATAAAATAGCTTGGATATGAGGGACTTTATTTTAAAACACACATTCCTGGTTGAGAGAAGAAAGATATGCAAGCATGAAACTTATTTTTTGGAATGATAACTTATCATGACTAATAAATGGAGGGTGGTACATTCCTTGTTAACAACGTAATAGTATGTTTAAAAACTGCTATTATCCCACACTTCTTGTCACATGTTCATCATTCAATTTCAAAAGATAAATTAATAATTAAAAATAAAACAGGAGAGCATTACAGTACTAAGATGGGATAGAATTTTGAGGCAACCTTTTTGCTGCAAGGACTTCTTATGGGACTTCTGCTTTGCCATATCATGAGTATCATTACCTAATATTAATATACTCTTGAGAGGAAGCAAATGGAATTAGAAGTAAAAGTCCAAGGTGGGGAAGATAATTTTTCAAAAGTTTCCTCTGTACCCCAGGAAATGTCCTTCAAGGCTAATCAAAAGGTGCTATTTAACAAATTGGGTGAAATTAATTTATATAGAATGGTATTATATCCCAACTACTTAAGGAAGATTTGAGACATGCTAAAAAGTTGATAATCTTTAGGATGGAGACTGCATCAATTGGGTGCATTCACTTTTACAAACACTGTAGCAGAAACGGAGAAGGCAGAAAATTGAATTTATGTCTTCAGAAGTCGTACCATTTTTTTCATGAATGAGCCAATGCCTGTATGGAGAGTGATCTTAAAAGGTGCAAAAAAAAACTTATAGCTAAGTTCCATCATTCTTATTTATCCAGCAGAAAAATCAGAATATGCATTCTGCCAAGAGAGAGAGAGAGAGGAGATTATGCATATATGAAATCTTGCTACCTTTGTAAAACTTGCATTTCATGTTCCATAATTTTTCTTGGCATAAGGTCTGAAATTAAAATCATGCTCCATCCTCCAGTAACATGTCATTTGCTTTAATTTTCTTTTTTTTTCTCCAATTCTTTTAAGTGAGAAATTTTGCTACATTCAATACTTGAATATTCCTACGGCTGATCGTTCAGACATTTTTTCTTCAAATGATTGTAAAATGTCAGATGATGCACAAAGTCCTCAGGCAACCTTATCACTGCAGTCATCACTTGCTGAGCCCCGCAATCGTTTTGAGCATGGGTTTAATCAGCCTATGGTAAAACTTCTCACAAAAATTACTCCTTTGGTCTTTAAGTATTTTATTTCAGCTGGACATAATTTAAAATGTTTGATATGCTTTCCTTGCTAGATCTGTGCAAAATATCCTTATATGGATCAATTTTATGGGCTCATCTCAACTTATGGACCTCAAATTTCGGTTTGTCTATACCCCAACTAGTTTCTAAATCTATATAAATCGTGCAATGTTTTCAACAAGCTTGAACGGGAATTTGTTTTATCTATGTATAGGGTCTACGTACAATTACCTATCAGTGTTTTCATGAATCTTATGTAACCTTTGAAAATATAATCAAATGGATTCTGAAATATATTTTGTTAGTTTTTAAATGTCTGTGTACCTAAGATGTACATGTTCATGTGGATGTGCAGTTGAACATGCTCATGGAGGTTACTGAGTTTTAGGCATTAGGTTTGAAACAAACAGCAAGGTGAGGAAAACTACTTGTTAAAGAAGAAAGAGAGAACTCAAAAAATGATGATTCAGTAATTTTTAACCTTGAATAAATTTCTTGACCAACCACAGATTTGGCCCTATAATCATATATTAATAAGTTCCTGTATATTTGTCAATATGCTGCATTATCCTATTCCTATCTTCTAGTTTTAGTTGTGGTTTTTGCTGTATCAAAGCAACTAATTTTAATCATCTACTTGACTATTAAGAAGTATTGTGGTAGCCCAAAGTTAGTACCATGTTATACTATGATGCCAGAGCATATGAGAGCAGCATAGGTTCTATGTAACTTGTAGTCTGTAGACATGTAAAGAGAAGGATTTATAATTAAATGATAAACAAGTAATAAAATAATGATTATACAATGGTTATGGATGTGAAAGATGATAAAATTTAGTTAATATTATTAACACATATCAGAAAATTGAACTGCAGTGAACTTGTAAAGTTGACATTAAATTATACAATGCAGTCTGCATTGCAGTTTGTGTGTTCATTTTCTGCTTTTAGTTATCATATGTGTATTTGCTGTAAATCTTTCACTGTTTATTAATTCATATATGTATCCATGTTTAATAAATTAGGGACGTATAATGCTTCCATTTAACTTGACATATGATGATGGACCAACTTACGTAAATGCTAAGCAGTACCACGGAATCATTAGACGTCGACAATCCCGGGCTAAAGCTGTACTTGAGAATAAATTGATAAAACGGCGCAAGGTATGGGCACTCCGAACTTTCTGTCATGACAAAAATATTGAATATAATGTAACTTTGAAACAATGTAGTTGTCACGGGTGCTTCTACCAATTTATGTGGAAAGTTTTACATCTTTCTCAGGGTGTAGTCTTGTGTACTTATTATAAACAGAAGACTTGAAACACTGGGGAAAACCATTTTGTAGCTGTATACTATAGCAATCCACTTCTATTATTGTTTGTGCAAGCAGAAATATGATAAGTTAAAACTTAGAAGGAAAGTATCAGTATATAAGTTGGAATTATTAAATGATGATTTTATTAAGAAGGAAATTTATATATGACCAAAAGATAGTGCCAATAAACATCAACATGCTATTGATTCCTTCATTCAGTCGAAAGACAAATCACTTACATTCTTTCCTCAAGACAATGTTTGACTACTTTTGAAACAATTTTTCTTTTCCTTTTGCCCTTTTTATACCTATTTGGGTTGTGCGTGTCTTACAGCCATATATGCATGAATCACGCCATCTACATGCAATGCGGCGACCAAGAGGATGCGGTGGTCGCTTCTTGAACACGAGAAATTCCACTGACGTAAATGGTAAAAGTGGAAGAGAAGTGAACAAAAACAGTGCCTCTCAGAGTTCTGAGGTTGGAACTATAAATTCATCAAAGGAGACAAATGGAAGCAGTCCAAATATCTCCGGTTCAGAGGTGACCAGCATGTATTCTCGAGGAGGTTTTGATAACTTTTCTGTCAATCATCTTGGATCTACCGTTCACTCACTAACAGGCATGATAGATAGTGGGCACGGTATCATCATGTCCACAAAATGGGGTGCAGCAGGTAACTGCTGCAACCTTAAAGTTTGATTGGCAAGGAGACAAGAGGGCTTGGTGTAACGCTACACCAAACCCCCCTTGCGATGACCAGATGAACACGCCAATCTGTTGCAGTTTCTTGCGTTTGCTGTGACAAATTTGGTTCTGGAGGCTTGCCTCTACATCTGGTTTGAAGGCAAATCATTGATGGCTGGTGCTCAGGCAACTCATCCTTGGCTCATTTTATTTATAGTACTGTCTTTGTCTATCTGCGCATGCTTGTTGCAGCATGGTTAGACATGCTAACAGCTTGATATCCTGATGCAGTAGACTATGATGTGTCTGTCTATGTTAAAATAAAAGCATGAATTCTAACTATGTGTGTGCTTTTCTAGTCATGTCTAGGTGTGTTGTTTTATTCTGACTTTGTGTGGAAAAAAATGTATCATAGAACTATGGATTGTGATCTTTGTTAGAAAAATAAAACATTGATCTCGTTTTATCCTCCTCGGAAATGTCAATATTTTATTATCTTTTGCATTTGGGTTATATAAAGGCAGTACAAGAAGTCACAAGTAGGTTAAGGCTTTCCACAAGGAACATGGAGTAGACATGATCACTTTGTATTTTGGTGGACTTTGCGTCCGTTTGGTTTTAAGTTAAGTAAAATTGATTTTGATTCAATTAATTTTGAATCGTTGAATGATGTTGAGACGTGCATAAATTTATCTAAATAATATTTTTATGAGAATGTGTTTTGCATTGAAAAGTACAAAAATTTGTTTTTTTAATTATAAAACAAACAAGCTTTCAATATTTGTCTAGAAAAGTGGAGGCTTAGTTAAAAATATTTCTATTGGAAAAAAGGGAGGAGAGGTGGAAATGGAGTGAATTATGGCCTCTGTTCTTGTTCTGGTCTATGTACTAATGGCTCTTGATGTGGCTCATTAAACCAAATGGTTAGTAAGAATTTTCATGCGAATTCTGGTTTAGTTTTCAGTGTAGGAAATGGGTTTGTAAGCAACAAGGAAGATGGTATAACAAACTCTCATTTTGGCTTCTTTTCAGATGCAAGGTTCGTATGCTTAAATAGTTTGCAAACTGTATAACGCCAGTTTTGGATGTTGAATATGACTTCAATGTTGTTTAGCCGAAATAGAAAATTGGAAACCTATGCATATTCATAATAAATGAAAACTAAGTCCAATATTTTATTAAGAAACGTGATTTAGTAGGATAAGATACGAAGAATGCTCATGGTGGATCCCAAGCCATTTTCGACGAGGTTAATGTAGATAAGAAGGTAAGAGTCAGCGGATGCAGTATAAACCACTCCCCGATTTTGTAATGTTATGTTACAATACAATCTGCAAGTGTAAGGAAGCTGAATTATTTATATATTATTCAAATTCATCCATGTCCCTTTAAATTTATTGATTTACTTTTAAATTTGAGGATTTAAATGAGTCAATTTTAAATTTTAAAACTCTGATATTAATAATTACCTAAACACATAAATCTAATTCCATTAGCATTTATTTATTAATTTTATATTTTACAAATATCTTCAATACTTTTTATTTAGATTAATAAATAAAAAATTATTCAGAGATATTCAATGAAAATATAATAAGTTATAAATAAGTTAAATCAGCCAAATTTAAAGTTAATATGTTAATGAAGTTAAAAACAAAATTTAAAATTATCTAATTTAAATAAATGGTCAAACTTAAACAATTTTTTTATATAAATTTGACATTTAAATACTAAGGTTAAACTCACTTACACACATAATATTATCTATTCTATGTGTTGAAGAAGCTTAAAAGTTCTTTAACAAGAGCTTGGGTGACATCTAAACCTATTAATTTCTATAAATAGTTCCGAAACAAAGACTTAACATGTCTTACCTATAAATTTGCAATTACTAATAAGGAAAAGAATGGGGTTGATGACTTGATTTGTGTTCGGCCTAACCTTGCTCAAACACTTATTTTTGTAATACGTTAGATAAATATTACTTTAAGAACACTGATTTAGTTAAAAGGACAAGACTTTACACTATAAAAATTGTTTTATGATCACTATTATTATTTTAAAATTATACACACACAACATTTAATAATTTTTTATATAATACAAGATTAAATAATTTAACTCTTAAATCATCTTATATTATCTTATGATGATATATATTAAATTTTATATAATTTAAACATTTATAGATATATTATTTAGAATTTAATATTTACTTATATTTTAAAATATATTATTCATTAAAATAAATAAATACAATATATATTAATTTTATTTTTGTATGATAATTTATAAATTTTATTTACTTACTAAGAACCTTCAAACCAACCATTAAATTGATTAATATTGCATTCTACAAAAAGTTATTAAATGATGTAAATGTTCAAGTATGATACTTATACTTAATTTGAATAAACTTATAAAAAAAGTTTATAAAAATAATTTATAAAAAATAAATAAAATTTCAACTTACATTTTTTTATTTTTTAAAAATTCTTTCATTTAACTTTTTAATAAAAAAGTTGTTTCTAACTTATGAAAGCAAATTTATTCATTTATTATACTAATAGTTTTTTTATAAAGATTTCTTTAAAATTTTGCTTAAATTAGACCTTGTATCAAATTATTTGATTAATTTATTTTGTTTAAGAATTTATAAACTAAAATTTATTAATTCGGCACTAATTAAAATATTCTCAATAAGTAAGTCAAATATATAATTTTACAACACTATTTGATACTTCATCATATAACTTTATTTTAACACATAATATACTTTTTAAAATAAAAGCAATATGTAAATTATAAAATAAGATTATATACTTATAAATATTCAATTTGTCAAAAATTTAACATGCATCATTATAAAAAAAATAGTATTACATGATTTAAAGTTGAATTAATAAAAATTGATATTTACTAAATATTATTAGACAAACTAAGTTAAATAAGACTTACCTCTAGAGTATAATATATGCTTAAATATTGTAATAAATTTAACAATGAAATTTGTTGAAATAAGTTAAATTACGATGTACAAACTAATATAGAGGCAAGATAATCTATGGAATTTTTATCACAAGTCACTAAAATAATGGAAAGAGTATAGTTTTTTTCACACTTCATTTAGACTACTATATTCATGGTGACATTATTAAATAACATAACACGATCACGTTGAAAACAGAAAGACACTAAATTTATCAACCTTAATTTGTTAGAGCTTCAAGTGAATTTCATAAAGTCAATAAAGTGAGCTAGCTCAATAGATTAACTTGTTCAAATTGCTAAATTATAGTTTCATTTTAAAATTTTAGACTTGAATTAACTTTGATTTTTCTTTTTCTTTTTTGTTCGATCCATTTGAACTTTTTTTTTTTTATTTGATTTAAATCAACCCAGTTTATATTTAAGATCGAATATGAAGCCCAACATGACAAATTCAAATGGGACCAATTCGATGTGTTTTGTGATTCTATATCCAAAATCTGAAGACGTTGCATAAACGTTTATTCTCCATGGCTGCTACAATTACTGCTTCTTCCCTTGTCTGCAACAGAATCTACAACCTCTCCTTCATCCATTCTTCCATTTCACTCGCACTTAACTTCCCACACACACCCATTTCCTTAAAACCCCACAATCTCATTCTCAACCTCCAATTTTTGAATCCTTATCCTCTTGCTCTTTCTTATCTTCCCTTACCCAGTGTTTCCTTCCACGCATTCCCAGACACCGAAGAAGAAGAAGACCCTCAACCCCAAACCTCCCAAAAACCAGACCCAAGGGTCTCACACTGCGGGAGGCTCTTTGTTGGGAACTTGCCTTATTCATTGCCTTCTTCCCAATTGGCTCATCTCTTTGCAAACGCTGGCAATGTTGTATCTGTCGAGGTTTCCAAGTTTCTTTTGTAAACCCTTTTCAGCTTTTGTTATGTTTTTCTTGTTTGATTCATAAAGTTAAGCTTTTTTTTTTTTTTGGACTGTTACGTAGATTGTGCATGATGACATTACGGGTAGGAGTAGAGGGTTTGCGTTTGTTACAATGGGGAGCGTGGAGGATGCTGAGCAAGCAATTCGAATGTTTGATGGCACTGTAAGTCATTACATGTATGATATCAGTGATTTTCTTATGAGTCATTCGCTGTTCATTGAAAATGAAATGATCCAAATTGCAAAGGTGGGTGCATGTTCATTTTGCTATTATACTATTCTATCTCTGTGATTTATGGGACTTAAGTGAGGGGTATACTTTGAGGGTAAAGTGGAGAATTATAACCTTCGATTGGAAATTTCATTTGACCTAAATAACTTCCTGTATTTTTAAAACTTGGCTATAAATTATTTGGAGTTCTAATAATTTAAGTTTGTCATGTTTTGTTATGTGATATTGGATATAATTTATTAAACTGTTGTAGTGGTGAAAGATGGAGGTGGATATCAAGACGTGAATAACTTGGTGTGTAATCAAGGTGTGGTTATGAATTTGTTAGAACCTTAGACCAAGTTATTTAAAGAGACATTTTGATTAATCAGATTTCTGAAGATTTTGTTTTTGACTGAGTGATCCATATAGCCAACCTCACCTAATGAGATAAGGCTTGATTGTTGTTGTTGTTGTCATCATTTGTAATTTCAGATTTTTCATGTTTTGTTGTCATTTATCTAGGAGATATCTATCTTCTTTTTATCATTTTGGGTCTTGATTTAGGAAATATCATATAACAAGCCATGAAGGCCACAGCCAGGCCATCAAATGCCTCTTGTGTTGAATGAGCTTTCTCTTTGAAATTATCATCATAATTCAATTTGTTTGAAGCACTGTACAAGCAAGCAGAATTCAGTCTGATGGAAATGGCTGTGATGATGAACAGGAAGTTGGAGGTAGGATTATTAAGGTAAACTTCCCAGAAATACCCAAACGAGGCAAAAGGTTAGTAACGGGTTCAAACTATAAGGGATTTGTAGACAGCCCTTACAAGATCTATGCTGGAAACCTTGGTTGGGATCTGACATCACAGGGTCTTAGAGTTGCCTTTGCTAAGCAGCGAGGCTTCTTGAGTGCCAAGGTCATCTATGAAAGGAACAATGGAAAATCTCGGGGATACGGGTTTGTCTCTTTTGAAACTGCTGAGGATTTAGAGGCTGCTATGAATGCTATGAACGGTGTGGTATGAACAACTTTGGGAGATTAGAGACTGTTTGGTTTTAGAAAATATTTTTTGTTTTCATTTTGTAGTTTCACTTGTAATTACAAAACTGACACTTTGTTTTCATTTTGTTTTCTGGTTTCAAAAACAGAAAATGAAAGCAAAAAATACTTTTTGAAGCCAACTAGCCCCTTAGTTTTGCAACTGTAGGTTCATCTTGTGATATATTAGTCTAATTATGTAACCACTTTCTTTGCATATGTAATATACTGTTCTCAGGAGATTCAAGGCCGGCCCTTACAACTGAACTTAGCTGTAGATAAGAAGCCATCATCTTCTCCGGTAATTCATAAAAACACAGGAAGTAGTGTTGATAGCATGGAAATGCTGTTTGGTGTCAACACATAAGGTATATGGTTGATCATTGGTTTTGCCTACAACTTGCACATACATTCATTTAACTTGATCTTCCTGTCATATTTCCAGTCAATTACTGGTCGCACTGGCATACTTTAACTACACCTTTGGACAAGCGAGATGCACTTGCATTATTGAACATATATGCACCGGACATTAATTAATATGGATCCATGTTAACTGTGGTTTTGTAATGGAAGCAAAAGAAGCATAGATCAAGGCCACAAGTCACATAACTGCATGCAGATACCCCTTGGACAAGTAAAAAATGCAGTCTAAAAGGTGCTGTCACTTTTTTTTTTTCTTAAAAAAAATCATAGCATCCCCTCCAACCCACGTGCACCTAGAGAAGGTACATCAGCCATCAGAGATCATTATTGTATGTTTAGATGGGAGAGAATTGAGGGAAAGGCTTCTTGTTTGGAGTAATGTTAAAAACTTACATAGGCATTGACCCAAATTTGGTATATTGGACCCAGCCAATGACAATGTGACAGGGCTGTAAAATTTACAACATAAACAGAAAACATGAAATTTTAATGTGCTGTCACATTTTAAAATTAGAGAGTGAAAAGTTTTTATGTTTTCTGTTCTATTTTATCTCATATTTGGGTAATTCCTACACAAGTTTTACTTTCTTGTATGATCTTTCCTTAAACATCAACATCAAATTGAGTTTCATGATTTCCATTGATAATTTCACTACATAAATAGACTTAAGAGGGCAAATTGAGCTTAAGTTTGTACATTAAGAGCTTAATCTGATGTATGAGATCAAATTAAACATCACACATTTCCATTTATAAATTCACATCATAAGTAGATTTAGAGAGCAAATTGAGCTTAATCTAGAACATATTTTCCAACATTCTATTAAGTTTATAGGAATTACACTAGTTCCATTGTATAATATCCATTATTATGTAGAGTAGTTTAGATTTCATCACTTTCCATCCTAATTTCATCAAAATCTTTAATTTGGTTGATGTAGGAAGAACCAAAGGGAGACAAAGGAAGCAAAGTGATAATTGGTCACTAAAATAGTAGTGCGTGCACACCAATAGTTTTCTGTGCCCACGGTAGAGCTGTTTCTAATGAATTTTATTTCTGCTACATCAGCGTGCACACGACAGTTATTTGTTGTGTACACATTTCACAATGAAGGGCAAATGAGCTATTAGGTAATGGCGTGTACACACTTTTTCTTCACTGTGTACATGCAACCTGGAATCAGGAGGCTTATATGTTGTTATGTCACCATGTACATGATCAATAAGTATTTGGTTGTACATGCCCAATGCTTATAAATTGCTGTCCTAATTGAATTTTGGCATCTTTTGTCATATTTTTTAGTAGAAAACAAGGGAGGCTCTCATTTTCTATGATTTTGTGATGAGATCTTGTAAAAATAAGAGATTTATTCCTCAAATTCACAATAGCGTGGATCTCTTCTCCTAATTGCTGAATTCTTTGATTTCCAATTTGAAGTAGTTTGATTTTTGCACTCTAAATCTATGCTCTCTTTTTTTTTCATTAGAATGCGTGCATTTTCTAGTAATGCCTCTTTGATTTGATCACTCAGAGAGTGATTTTAGAATTGTTTTCACAGTTAGAAATTTGACGAATAGTTTAAATTTTAAGTAACATAATGATTGGTTACTAGGGATAGGAGTTTATTGTTGTGTGATGCTTTGAATTCCTAAACCTATAAAACGTCTTAATGATACCCACCTAAAAAATTAGGACATCTGTTTGAGAGATCGGGTTTGATTTACCAATGACTTGGAACTTAACTAATTATATATATATATGATCATCAATCGAATGTTGAAATCTGAGTTGAAAGTGAGATTAATTACATGAGAAAAGACAGATGAGTTGGACACTAACTACCATTAAATAGTGAATTTTACCCTGTTTTCTGAACTTCTCTTGCTTTCTATGATTTTTCTCGTTGTTCATTGTTAAATTTAATGTCTCACTTGTAGTTGATGTTTGTCAACACTAGGTTTTATTAGTTCAAATAGCAAATTAACTGAAAACTTAAGAGTTACTATTCTTGTTACTTAAAATTTGCTAAAGTTTTTGAATCGGACATGTATCTAATACTAATCTGTCTCGATCAATATCGAATGTCAAAAAGTATTTAATTTTTAATTTTATTATAAAAATAAAATTTCAAACCAATATAGTTAGGATACGATTTGATATTTCAATATTTTTTTCATTGTTCAAGACTTGAGAAAGTCTTAACCAACAACATCACTCATCTCATGTAAAGCTAGGGTTTCTTTTTACACATATAAGAGTTGTGATTCTCTTGGGTGTCAACTCTTGTCTCTCGAATCTTACAAAAATTGTTCATTTCGAAATTAGAGGTTCATGGCCATGGCTAGTTGAAGGTCGATGATGATGATTGGTGAGTCAAAGGTTAGTGACAATGGCTAGTGATCGGCAGTTCTTTGCACACAATAACAATTTTGAATTTCACTCCTCTTTTTTAGGCTTAAAATTCTTCCACTCTGGTATCTAGTGTCATTTTCGTATACAATGACAGTTCTAAATCTCACAAAATTCCTCTTTTTTAGTCTACCACAAATGTACACTGTTACTCTAAGCATTTTATTATAATTACAATAACCGGTAAGTCTTAAGTTTTAAGTCTTTTATTTTTTATTTATTTTACAATAACATAGTAAAATATTAATTTTTACCTATTCTTGCATTTTTCAACTGTTGTGTTTAATGACAAAAAATGAGTTCTAACATTAGGTCTAATTTTAGAATTTCAAGTTAGTTTACTTCACTAGACTTAATGATAGAACTAATTTTTTTTTTAAATTCTAACTTGAATAAAAATAAAGTATATAATTTTTGTATGTGTTTGTAGTAAAAAAAATATTTAACTTAATTACTTATAAAAAAATATATGATAACATATATTTTTTTTATAAACTATAATTATTAATATATAAATATAATATATTAAATATTCGTACGTGTGTAAAGTAAAATATTTTTTTAAATTCATGTTAATGTATTTAATCTGAATCGTATCTTTAATTTCAAATAACACCCGTATTTCCGAATCAGCATCTTATCCGTATAGTAATAAATATCTAGCCTTCACAGCTCCCTCATTTCTATATTACTTGTGATTTGAAACACTTCCTGATTATTACGTTATTCTTCACATGTTCATGCATTTATTGAGGCTATTTTAATCAGCACAGAATAAGAGTGCCCGTGGTAACTAGTAATAATGGGCATGCAGAAGATAACTAATCAATGCCCCATTGTGTGGCAGTAATTTGACAGCCGTCGAATTTGACTATGATCTCCATCTTTCCTACTGCATGAGAAATTATTTTGTTACCATCAGCTCTCTTTAAACAACTAAAAATTATATATTTTGATAGAAAAATATATATTTATTATTTTTAAGATATAAAAGTGTAATAAATATTTTTAATAAATTTTATTATTTTAAGTTATTTAATTAATTTCTAAAAATTAAAATTAACAATTTTTTATATTATTCATGTTATAACTATTCATGGTAAAAAAAAAAAATTTCGATGACATTACTTACTTTATTACACATTTTTTTTCTATTTTTTAAATATTACAACATTAATATATAAGTAACATTTCTCTTACTAATTTAAGATGGATCACTTTCTTTCTTCTTGATTCCATTTTAAAATTAAAAGATTCTATTTTAAAATTAAAAATTGTTAGATTTGGAGGTTTCATTAGAGATTATAAAGACAGATTTATTGTTAATTTTTAAAGTTACACTAATTATTGTTGTTTTTTAATTGCTAAATTTTGGAATCTTTTTTAGAGTATCAAATTAGCCAAATTCAATTTGTTAAGTTTAGTCATATTTGTAGATAAGTCAATTATTGTATTGATTGGCTTGCAAAGCTTGGTGTTAAGGTTGTATTCTCTTGAAGTATTTTAATATTTCTCCTTCTTTACTATATCTCTTTCTTAGTCTTGATACTTGTGGCTCTTGGACATCTAGATTTAATCTTTAGATGCTTTTGTTCGGACTTTTAGCTCCTCTTATTAGCAAATAAATAAATATATAATTGTAGGCATGATATAGAAATAATATTCATGTTTTATATTGTTAAATTTATCTCTTATTTTATGTAAAATAGTATCAATATATTTATTCACTTGAATTTATATTAAATTAATAGGCTTTTGGAAAGAAAATTAAAAATTTAAGCCTCTAAATAAGTTTTAGGATTTCTAGAAAATTTGTTGCATTTGAATTTAGTTTTTAACAAATTAAATGAATAAAAAATAAATTTTATTCTTAACATCCATTTACTAAATACTAATTAAGTTGCTTAAGTTTCGAGTCACGAATATACAACACACAATTGTCAATTTTATTTTAAAACAAAGTCTTAAATAAAAAAAATTATTTCTATAAAAGTTGTTGCATTTATAATTACTCTCTAAAATATTTTTTTTGTTGAGACATAATTCTTAACAAATTAAGCGAATAAAAAATTAGTTCATATTGTTGTTTTTATCAAGTGTTGAATTGATTATCAAAGTTTTAACTTAGGACTACAATAACTATGTAGAAATATGACCAAACAAGATTTATTAGTAGTTTTAATTTAGCACTACAATAACTATGTATAAATATGATTGAACAAGATTTATTAGTAGAAAAATTCTTCATCACGACTATTTGTGACCGGAATGTGTAAAGTAAAAAAGTTTGTCATGAAAAAAAGAAAAAAAAAGACATTCAAAAAATATGTAAGCATCTATTTTAGAAGAATTTTAATAAGAATATAATTATTAGAATAAGTGTATGTTGTGTGCTTAACACGTGGTGCTAAGTTAAAATGTGATATTCAACTCAACACTTAATAAAGGAACATAAATTATTTTTTAGATAGTTGTCAAAATTAAATTTTAATAAAAAAAAATAGGAACTGATTTTAAATCTTGTAACTTTTATAAAAATAAAAATTTATTTATAGCTTTATTTTAAAACATTTTTAACAACTATTTGATTATTAAGATAAAAATACACTCATTTAAATTGTCAAAGACTAAACCTTAATGTTTGCATTATACTGATATGCTCTATATTCTCTCCGCTAGGGTTTCCATTGAGTTTTCAAGAAATAGTCCCCTCTTTTCAAGACAGGGGCAGAGAAGCATCGTTAGGATTCTCGTCCTAGCTCTTATGAAGAACCATGGTGTTGATCGCTGAAACAGAGATAGAGGTTATGCAGTTGTGCATCCTAGACTTCAAGCTCTTGATCTCGTGGTCAGAAGAATGAAGTGACATGAGGCTGAGAAGCGTTCCAAGGAAGAACTAGATTTAATAGATCAAAGCATGAAGAAGGTAAAGATAGGTTTAAAGGCGTCCATAGAAGATCATGAAGAATCCATGCAAGAATATCAGAGTACTGTAGATCCTACTCCATATCAAGTGTCTTCTACCACAATCCTTTCTACTTTTGTCTCGTATAAGGATAAGATTATTGCATCTACAGATTTAGATCTAATACTTAATAACAATGAAATCATTAAATCAATTTTAGATTATTTTAATATTAACTTTGATGTTGAAGAATGGATGATATAAACATGGTCCTGAATCTGCGCTCTGACATTAAAATACCATTAGAAGACTATGAAGAATGATGCCCTCGTTGGAGGTACACTCTCATCATCAAGCTTTTAGGTAAATCAGTCAGTTTTAACTATCTTAACCAAAGGCTTAGTAATATTTGGGAAAAGAATGGCTTGTTAAAAATTATTGATCTAAATTATGATTTCTTTTTAGTTAAATTTGAGAGCATGGAGGATTATAAAAATGCTCTGTATGACCGACCATGACTGATATTGGATCATTATCTTCTTGTGCAGAGGTGGCGACCTCTTTTTAGGACCAGGGACTACAACTTTCAAAAAATAGCAGTCTAGGTTCAAATACCTAACTTCCCTTTAGATGTATAACAATAAGTTTCTATGGCAAGTTGGCACCTGCTTGGGGTCTATGTTAAAGATTGACCCCTACACCTCTCTGCTATCACGAGAAAAATTTGTTAGAATTTGCATAGAAATTGATCTCAAAAAGAAGTTGATTCCTGCCTTTACGAATTTAGGACAGGAGTTCAAAATAGAGTATGAGAGGTTGCATCTAATCTGTTTCAAGTGTAGCAAGTATGGGCATAGGAAAGAACAATGTGTAGATTATGTTAATCATAAACCTTTAGATATAGAACATGAGGCTGTAGCTATTAATAAGGGTAGTGATAATCAAGGTGAATTACTTAGCAATTCTTGTATGACTAAGAATATGAATATTGATTACCTTCCTTATGAGGAAGATAAGAAAGAGGATCAATTTGGTCCCTGAATACTTGTAAAAAAATAATTTAGAAAGAAACCTAGTTATCCACCACATTCTGGTACGCTTTTGAAAATTGGAAAACACAAAGATACCCACTTAGACTCCAAATTTGAAATGTTAAGTGATTCAAACCAAGATTTAAACCAAGAATCATCACCTGCTAATAAGGCTCTACTTGAACCTTATAGTAACAACATTGTTTCAATGTAAGTACCCATTTCTGATAAACTAACTAATAAAAATATTAATCAATCCTTAGAGAAGTTAACCAAAGTACTTACTGGTTAGTTAAGACAAGAGCTGAACTTAGACTATCTTATTGTCATTTTGATGAGGCTCCATCAACTTTAGATCCTTTGTTGAGACTAGATGCTACTAGTGTTCGGTGACTTAGGCAATTAGCCTAATTTTGTTCAATTTTTTGGGTTTATTTCAACCCCGTTTATTAGCAACAAAAAAAAAAACTAAACCTAAATAGAATCTTTGAAAAATAATTCTAAATAAATTACAAGAATAAATAACTTAGAATAAGTTTGTTTTATTTCTTAAAAACAGTTTTATGTTTTTAAAAATATAATATAAATTTGTATTATATTTTAATTTTAAATATAGTTTTTTTAAAAAAGAAAACAAATATATTTATTTATATCATATTTTAAATTTGAGTTAGATTAGGTTACTATTTTTTTTAAACTTAGATAAACTTATTTATTAAATAAATTAGGTTACTATTTTTTTTAAAGTCTATATTTATTTAAAATTTACTCGACCAAAAAAAGTTAGATTTTACACCATTGAAAATGTTTATGCATCATAGATTGACTTATTTAATTAGCAAAAATAACAACTACAGTAAAAAATAATAATAACAATTTTATTTTATTATTATTATTATTATATTAATTTAATTTTTTACAATAATATTTTGATCAAAATTATATATTTATTAATTTATTCAAAGTTTAAGCTTGTTAGACTACATATAAATTTAAATTCATTAGAGATTATTATATTTAAAGGTAGATTTATGAACATATTTTAAATATTATACTGTAAAATAAAATTTTAGATAAAAAAAATTAAATCAAACATTAAAACTATATTAATTAAGAAAATAAATTAGTCTTATGCTTAAAAGTTAATCCAAATTATTCCACCCGTAACTCTAATTATCCGATTTTAGGAGTGGTTTTATGAGCATTATAAGTTTTCTAATTTCTCAATACAGTGAGAGACTTTCAACAGCATAAAAGATTTAGTGAATTTATTCTTAATGAAAACCATTACCATAAAAGAATGTAGGAACCACCCCCATTATTTTACGCAATATTGTCATGTTCTGTTCTTTTATTGTCATACCTTTAGAAGTTAGCATTTTTGTAGCTATCCAAAATAGTATGGTAAACAAAGTCAAAACAAAAAAATACTTGTGTGGAAAATAATAATAATGTTAATATTTTATCCAAATAATTTTACAATTTAATTTTATTCCTTCGAAAATATTTTTCTTTAGTCTTTAAATTTTTTAAAATTTTATATTTTTAATGATAATATAATACTACAGAAAATGTGGTAATCTCTTAATTATTTACGTCATCATTAAAGATTAAAAAATATCAAATTTAAAAAATTTAAAAATAAAATTAAAACTTCACAAAAAATATATAAATTAAAAATACATGTAAGCCTAATACCATGAAAAACAGTGCTATTGAATAATTAAGGTGCAACTTTTTGTACAAAGGTATAACAACGCAAAACAATTGAACACACTGAAGCAAAATATAACGAAAAAATAAAATACATATATGCAAAAGAATGTACCACCAATACCATGAACACCACCTCGAGTTAACGTTTCTCGCCCTTCTCCTCTTTCCGGCGTATGCCAAAACCAAAACGGGATAAGCTTCAACAAGTGCTCTTCGTGGTAGTAAAGTAATAATACTATTAAAAAAAGTACAAGAAAGGACCATAACCATATCCATAGGCTTCTAGAGAGTGTCTCAATCTTCAAACCAGGGAAAATTGAAATCAACACGAGACCAAAAAATCCAAGATTGATTACAAAAGCAAGGTATGGGATATTTTTCTAATGCAATTGGTCAAGGCAGCATGAGTTGACTTGACTATCAAGCTTTGAACTAATTCTTCTTAGCAGCCACCAATTCCCATTTGAAAGTGTCTCAATTAATTTCTTAGGACTATAGGGAGAACAATGATCAAGATGATTATGATGAGCAGTATGATGGCTATGCAGGTCCACTTTCGGGTATTCTTCTGGTGCTTCCTCGCAACGTGCAACTGCTGGACCCCACCCCTCACGTACGAATTGGCTCGTGCCACGTGGTTCTCAATGTCGTCCAATTGTTCACCCTGGGTTTCCACCAAAACGGCCATGTCCATGAAGACCTGGTGCAGCTCGTTCAGGTTTCTCTCTATTTCTTTTACCGTGTCATGCCTCTCTTGAATCTCTTGTATCGTGTCCATCACGCTCGCTCTACCTTGCTGTTCGATCGCTTTCTGCAGAAACGTTTCACTTTCGCCTGTTCCATTCAACAATCATTTTATTAGACTATACCCTAATTAACAAATATATTCGTGCCATTGAACAATAAATCTATCTTCATGCACTGCTTGTTTATTTGTTTTTTCCTTGGACTCATCAAAATTAATTTCTAAAATATCAATTGATAATTAAAGTATTTTATGCTCCATTTATAAGATATAGTAGTTGATTGTAATTATTTTTCGATTATGCCTAAGTCAATTCTGCACCTTCTTTAAACAGATTGTAAGTCTTGAATCATTTATGTACGAAATAGATTAGTTTTATAATACTTTTTATTTATTTATTTTGTCATAATTATTTCATTTATATTTATCCTTTTTTTCCTTTCTTTATAATCATAAAAAAAAAAATTTAATTCTTCTAAAATGAACAATATAATATAAAGGAGCAAAGAAAAAATGTATTTATTGTTGGTTTTAATTAAATAACTATATAATTTTAACTATTTTTAAATCTATAATAAATATGTCATTTTTTCATTTTAAAATACAAATATGTAAAAAAAAAGAATACAATCTTATTATATAAATAGACTTCCTCCTTAAAAAAAAATTGATACCTTCCCCAGAAAAAAAAAAAAAAAGAGTTCATAAGTATTATTGTATTAAATTTTGAACTACTCTGAAATCATGTATCCCCTAGTCTGATCATAAGAAAATCAAAATCCTCAAAAAAATTATTTGTCATTCTTAACTCTTGAGAATATATTCATTTTATAACCTACTATACAAAGCAAAATATGTTTGGAAGATAAAATTTTGAGAATTGATGTTATATACCAGTGGAGATGAGGAGGTCAATGGTTTTTTCATCAGGGTTCTCTCCGGTGACGGTGTAGTATCTACGTTGTACGGTCTCCCTGTACTCCGAAGATATCTGTTGTCTCAGGCTGTTGAAGCTCTCCATCGTAGCTTTCAGCTTCTTCCTCTGACCACTCACCACGGAGGTCCGGGTCCGATCCGAGTACGAACCGGGACCCGAACCAGGCATGTTTCGGCTTGCCTCGTTCGACCGGTCCAGTGCCTCGAGCCGGACCTTGATTAGCTTGGCTTTTTTAAGAGCCAAAGCCACGTCAGCGTCCATGCGTGAACGAAGCTCCTTCACGGCTTTTGCGCTGTGAAGGGTCTTGCTCTTCTCGTGCGATTCACTTAAGCTCTCATGGAGACGTTCCAGTTCCTTCAACTCCTCTTTCACCCACTCAACTTCTTCGAAGAACTTATTCAATTGCACGCCGCCCTCTGCCGCCGCCGTCATCTCGATCACGTGGTGGTTGTTGCTGTTATCCGGCGAGACTTGATCGCTGTTGCGGAAGCGGGAGAAGGAGCCGGAGAACAAGTCGTTCATTTTTGTTTTATGGGGTTACGTTGTAAAGAAAGGAACTAATCAGAATCGAAGCGTTTTGGGAAGTTGAACACTTTATCAATAACTCAACGAGCGTGTGTATACTATATATATTTATGTGTATTGGGGGAAATTATGGGTTTGCGATGTATATAAATGGGGGTGGCTTTTGAACCAAGAGTTTGAATTTTTCGTTGAATAATAAGAAACGGGTGTGGAAGTGGGCGAGACTGGTTCAAATTGCAATAATATTACGCAGCATATGATTTGTAATTTATATTATGTGAGAAAAACACGGATTTATATTCTATGGAACATTGGTATGTCTTGCACAAATGGTGGCTTTACAATATATATGTTGAAAATAAGAATATGGTTATTGGTAGCAGACAACTGGTCATTGGTCAAAGGGGGTTGGGAGAATAGAGACTAGACAAATGGGTTTGTGGGAAATTTCCAATAAACTGCAAACGAGAAAGGAAGGGCAATTCCGGAATGCAGAAATAGAAGGAAGAAAAATGTTGCAATATTGCGTGAGAGGATGGGGTTTTGGTTTTCCAGATACTATATTATTTATATGTAATATTATTTTAACTTAAAATTCTAATCACACTAATTTTAAATAAAAATAGTGTTGTTGTATTATTTATACCAGTATGCATCGATCTTCCCTTGCATTCTGTAGTGTGTACCCGCTGAAGAAGCTTCTTGGGGGTCTATTAGGTTAAAGCCAATGTAGAAATTTAGGTACAAGATTGATATTTTTGTTGGACTGATGATGTTGGAAAAATTGAAGTACTGTAAATTGTAAGTATATCCCTCATTTCACATGCATATTTATATATAAACTCTTAATTATTCAACAAAAAATTATTGAATATGCATTCAATTAAATCGTTTTTCAAATATGTTATATATCTACATCTTAAAGGGATTAATCTTCTTGTCGACTAAGAGATGCCTTTAGTATTTAAAAAAGTATATATATATCTAAAGCTAAAAAAAAAATAGTCAAATAAAATAAAATAAACTTTTACATCTGATGTATAATAGATTGACAGTATATTTAGTTTCACGTCAGATTCTATATATGTGGAAGCAATCGCTGCACACATTAGTTATTTCCATAATGAAAAAAGATAAATATACAAATACATCATGAATCCCTTTTATTTCCATAATGAAAAAAGATAAACATAAATCGTTTATAAGTTATCTTTTTTTAAGTATGAAAAAGACAAACCGTGCATCTCTTTATGAAATTACATGAAATTATAAAGTTGCTAAAAGTGAAGAATGTGTATGAATTGTCAATATTCCATAACTTGGCGATATACACTACTTTAGCAATCATTTTCAAACTTTTTTATTTGTAAATTTGCATGCAAAACTCTGAATAGTATTTAATATCCAATTATTGAGTATATACACGTTCTTTAAAAAAAAAAGACAATTATATTTTAAATCTTTTATGCAGGTATTTCATTTCATGATTTTTCAAAAAATTTTAAATGAGTCTTCCATGAAAAAATTATCAAATTATCCCTTTGTTAATTTTTATTTCTCATTTATTATCTCTAAATATTTTAATTTTTTTTAATATTAATAATTTTTTATTTAGTCTCTCATTTTAGGTGAACCAAATAAAAATCCATGTATTTGAAGAGACCAAATTAAATTAAAATAAAATAAACAAATGAAAGCAAGTAGAGAAATCATTTGATAATAACACATGTTTTGAAAAAATAAAATAAAAAATAAAGAGTCAAATAGTATAATCATAATTTTTTATAGGATAAAAAATTTAATCAACTCATGAAAGATGTATCATCATTGAAATACACAAGAAGACTAAACAAGGTTGAATTGCGTGTTAGAAAAACTTTTGGCAAATAAAACTTGTTTCTCAAAGCATAGTGTGCAAAGATTCAACAAAGGAAAATCATTTCAAGATAATCATATGATACACAAATGAATCTTCTTAAATAAAAAAAAAATTATATAAGACAGTCTTTAAAACAAGGATAAAGATATAAAATCAAATCATAAAATAATCTAGTCAATAACAAAAAAATTAAAATTAATACTAAGTCACTCTTAACCATCAACCAAATTTCTGTCATATAAATAAGAAATTTTATAATGCAAATAAATATAAATTTAAAAAAAATTCAAGTAATCTTTCACAAAAGCCTCTAATAACTCAATAATGTTTTAACATTCAGAAAGAATTGAACTTAAAATCACAAATTAAATTGAAACAACTTTCTATCAATTGATTCCCACAATTAATGATATATTGTTTAATGTTTAAGAGAAATTAAAAATAATAAAACAAGATGTAAATTATATTTAAATGAAAAAATAATTTTTGTATCAAATTTAATGATTTTAAAAAAATCATTTTTATTTAAATTTTTTATTTTTTTAAAATAATATTAAAAATTTAAAAATAATTTTATGTATAATATTAAATTTTGATAATCAATTATAATAATAATCTTCAATTTTTTTACAATTAAAACTTTTTCTTTGTAAGAAATTATAATTCAAGCAAAAATAAATTATACAAAGTTTAAAATTATATTTAAAAAAATAAAAAATATTTTTCTTAAATATTATTTAAAAGGTTTCATATAATATGTAACGCCCCAAATTTTGTAATATAGTTTGATTATTAATATAAGTATTTGCTTTAACTTTTCCATGTTATGTATTTAATTGTCAAATAACGTCATTTTAATTGAACCTTTTTTTGTCCAAACTTAATTATGTATTTCCTCATTTGTCTCAAAGAAGAACCCTAAATGCATACGGAATCTCACCCAAATTTGTGTTCATAGTTGTGTTTGGCGGTGAAATATTTAAAAATTAAAGTTTGTTATAGTAGAATAAGTAGAATCGGATGGAGAATTCAGTAAAAAAAAATTTCTTATTTCATTATGTGAGTCATTTTGTGTTTTGGGGATGATGAACCCTAAGCATTTCCTTATACGATAAAGGTCAAATTCATACAAATTAATATTACCTAAATGCTTTTAAAATGACCCTCAAACATAATCTCTAAATTAATTTATAATACCTTGCTGATCTAAAGTATGAAATAATTAAATCCATTGTACTGGGTTGTCATTGGCCCTAGGAAAGGAAAGGAAAGGAAATATTTTTTTCCAATTGCTTGTCTGATTATAGTATCTAAAGAATCATTTTAGTCATTTATTTTTGTGATATCAGAATTGTCAAAGGCTGTGAGTTTTGCAAAGCTATAAGTTTTGCAACTGGAAAGAACCTAACAATTGAAGCAAGATATTCCAATAATAAAAGAAAGGAAGAAACCCAATTGCAATTAAGAACCTTAACCCTAATAGTGAAAGACTAGAGGTACATAACATATATGCTGATATGTTTGGGTAAAGGGGTGCTTGAATCAGAATGACGTTGTTTGACAACTAAAGGTGTCATGTTTACTTAACGTGATAACTCAACTTTCTGTTATTGTTTCTTAACAGAGTCTGAATCCTAAGATTAAAATGAATGACAAAGAAGGAAGTTAGAGACTAACATGACATTTTAAGTATCTTAAAGACTAAAATGTTGGACTCAAACTCTTTCAGAGACTAAAATGATAATTTAGTCATTTATATAACATCACTCTATATCTAATTTTCACCATTACCAGATACACCTCCATTGATTTTTTATGTTATATGAATTGAAGTAAGTGTGAAGTTAAAAGAAAAAAAAGGGATATTAGGTTTAATTTCATTAAATATCAAGATATTTAAATATATTTTACCCAAAATTTTAAGAAGAGTACCCCTTATTTACTCGTTGGATAAGCTGATTTCCATGCCATTAATTATCAAGGTGAGCCACGCGTAAGTAGATGACTAATCAACGCCCAAATGGGCATTATTTTGTGACTTGACTTGGCCAGTCATTTGAGAATGAATAAGCAGTCCCTGTTGGTGTTGGTACGACTCTTAAGGACACAAGTTTTTAATATAACTTCTTTGTAACCGATTGGGCTTTTACCAAAACACTGTCAAGGTACCAAGGGAATTCAAGGTATCTATCAGATACTGGTCCAAAAAACAATTATCAGATATTTGAAGAAGTTCTATCAAGGTGATCATGATGGATCAAAAGCAGAACAGAATTACACTGAAAATCTACAACGCTACAAATTCACAAGGTCCATTTCACCACTTTCCTATTAAGAAATCAACCTCAAGACCCTAGAAACAAGAATTTGGAGCTTGTTTCTCTAAAGTGACTTATAAATAACCCAATAAGGAACCTACAGATAAACCTATGAAGTATGAATATGCCCTTTTACGGCTTTACACCACCATTATCATTCTTCACGCACTTGTTTTTATCTGCATAAGCAATGACAAACTATGGAGATGTACATTGATAGCTCTCATAATTTATTAGTTTAATTAATTTCTATCTCAGAGAACAAAAACTACTAGAATAGTGGACAACGTAAACTTGTGTATTATATTATTAACAGATTCAGTTGAAACTGAGTTGAGCTTTCACCTTATGCTTGCAGTAGCAGATCGAGTTTTAAAAGTAGATAATTAACGCGCTCATCAGTTGGGAATAAGTGCAACGTAGACATGCCTCTAAGTTCAATGGGTCCTCAGAGACATAAAAGAAATTGGGTGGTCTGAAACTAAATGGTCCCAGCCACTCCTAGCGACATGTATCAACTTTTTTGGTCGTAAATTGTGAAATTTATGTACATATCACAATCCAGACCAAGTAAAAATTACTCAGATGAAATATGATAACAAAGAGGAGAAATTATGCAAAGAGAATAATAAAACAGCATAAGAGAAGAGTAAGATATTATACATCATAATTGGGGAAAGATCCCATAAAAAATACATATAAACTATCAGGCAACACTGCAACTGATCAAACTGATAAGCTACTTACAGAAAAAGAATACGATGCTCAAGATAATGATCTCCAAAAATCCACCTCAACAAAACAACAGACTCTCTCCTTTCTCATACTTTGTTAAATCATCCAACCTTTCTATGTGTCGAAATAAAACTGTAAGTCACGCCTACAGATTTCCTTTCAAATCATAAGCTAATACATGTTTATCTCACCTCCCAAAATATAATATATCTCAATGCTCAAATAAAAATAAATGAAACCAGCATGCATCGCAATTTATAAATGCTTAATCCCTAAGGTTAAGCATTAGGAGGAGAAGGAGGTGTTTGAGCCGGTGCAGGCTGACCACTGCCACTACCATTATGTTCCCACGGCTTCACAGTGAAGAGCACCACAAACAAGATGATCACCAGAAGAAGTATAATACAATAACAGGTCCATTTCCTGGTGTTTTTCTGGTGCTTGCGCGCAGTATGCAACTGCTCAGCTCCGGTGCGCACAAATGAATGAGCCCTTGCCACATGACTCTCAATATCATCCAATTGCTCACCTTGAGCTTGCACTAACACTGTCATGTCAAGGAACACTTGGTGCAACTCCTTCAGACTCTTCTCTATCTCTTTCACAGCATCATGCCTCTCTTGAATCTCATTGATGGTGTCCAAAATTCTACCCCTGCCCTGTTCTTGAATCGCTTTCTGAAGGAAGGTCTCACTCTCACCTGCATAAAAGTGAAACTCAGTATTTATTATAGAATCTCCCAAACTTTGCATCAAATCAGATTTCACAAAACTGAACCCGAATATTAAATCAAGGGGGCCAAAAGGTTCTTCACAGACTTGAATTTTAATAAACTGTCCACTAATTTCATGAAGTTCTATTTGTTCTTCAATTGAAGCAATGATGGAGAAAATGAGACAAATTAATCATGAGTATGTCCTATTTCATTTCAATTATTTTTATCTGAAGATCTAAAATCCACATTGCCCCCAAGCAATACACAATCAAGTGCGACTCACCCAAAGCTCCTTAACAATCGAATCAAGTGGCTTTGGTTATTATATTTCATTTGAGGTTACATTTTAGGGATTCATAAAACGAGGAAATTCCGAATAAATGTGGAGTTTTTCGAAGATTGATGGAAAGCAAAACCTTACCAGTGGAGATTAAGAGATCAAGGGTCTTATCATCGGGGTTTTCGCCGGTAACGGTGAAGTAACGGCGTTGCACGGTCTCCCTGTACTCCGTCGATATGAGTTGGCGAATCTCGTTGAAGCTCTCCATAGAGTCCCTAAGCTTCTTTTTCAAACCGTTGACCAAGGAGGTTCGGGTCCGGTCCGAAGACGAACCGGGTCCGCAACCGGGGAGGTTCCGGTTCGCAGCGTTGGACCGCTCCAGAGCCTCCAACTTGAGCTTAATAAGTTTGGCGTTCTTGAGAGCGACGGACACGTGGCCGTCCATGCGCGAACGAAGGTCCCTAACGGCCTTGGCGTTGTGCACCGTTTTGCTCTGTTCGTGGCTACTCTTCAAATTCTGCGCTAGCTCATCAACCTCTTTCAGTTCCTCCTTCACTCCCTCAACATCCTCGAAGAACTTGTCGAGGTTCACTCCACCGCCGCCGCCGGTCATCTCGATCACGTGGTGAGGATCCGGCGAGGCTTGGTCGCTGCGGAAGCGAGAGAACGAACCGGAGAACAAGTCGTTCATTTTTTAATTTTGGTTGCTTTGGATTCAACAACAACAACAACAATAACAACAAGGTGAGAGAAAGAGGAGTATTGAAGTGAAGTGAGAGAGGGTTGGTTTGTGTGGGTTATTGATGCAATTTCAACTGCGGGAAAGAGAGCGTGTAGAGAAGTCAACGTGGGGTTGAAAATGACGTGGTAGCGCGAGAGAGGGAGAGAGAGTGGGTTGGTCCGTACCGTGTGGCGTGTGCCGAAGGGTGTGGTAAAGAGGTAGAAACTTCGCATGGGGAAGGTTGAACTGGTGAACCATGGAAGCGCGTAGGTTTGTGCCATTGACTCAGTGATCATTTGTACGTGGAAATTCTGTTCCCTGTACTTACCTTTTTGCTTAAGCTTAAAGAGAGAGTCTAGAATCGGGTTAAGAAGATCAGTCAAGTGAGGAAACTACCCTTTTAAGGTAAGATGATGATTATTATTATTATTATTATTATTATTATTATTATCATTAGCTTTTTAGAATTTTTTTTATGAATAGTGTGATGTGAATGAATAAAGAAAATAAAAATATTACGAAAAATTAAAATAGATGTTATAGTTTTTATCCTGAAAGTAGAGTATGTTGCTTTTTATAAGACTTTTTATATTAAAATTAAAGTAGAGCAGGAGATTATAAAAAAAAATTATACTTTCAAGATTTGGTGGAGTTCATAAAGATAGATAATGAAATTATAGTAAAGGTAGATAAATCAAAGGTAAAATTTATGATATTGCCTCTTATTTTTTGTGAAAATTAAAATTTTTTAATTATGAAAACAAACATTAGTGTTGATGTAAAAATAAAAAAGACATATGAGCTTTAAAAAATGCTTTTAATATATAAGTTAGAAAGACTTTTGGTTATAAAATTATTAAAATATTTTATTCTCTAGGATTATCATTTCATTTTGAAAGAAATTTTTATTATAAAAAAAATTCTTTTTTTTATTTATAATAATCGAAGTGGGTATCAACCTCTCACTTATAGTAAGTTGAGAATAAATTTGTTTTTAAATGAAAGAAGACATGTGGAAAGACTATTGCAACCAATAAAAAATAAATTGAATTAAGGTTGAAGTGATTTCTAAAAAAGACCTTTTCTAAATTTCATGGATGTTAGGAAGATTAGATCTATGTTTTTAAAGATATTAGATTCTTCCTAGGAAATAAAAGATAAAATTTCATAACCAAACAAACTAAAGATGTAATTACAAAGGTTGGACCCTCAAATGTGATGCAAATTATCACTAACTATGCAATTATATGTTAATTAATATGTTTGATCACAAAGGCTAATTTTCTTTCTATCTATTAGATTTCTTGTATTGTATACACACTAAATCTTGCATTGAAAAATATATATGCAACCAATAATATAAAAAAAATCTTATTCATCAAAAATGTTTTTGGATCTCAAAAATTGTAAAAGATGTCATGTATATTAAAAAATTCATTATAGGTCATCCCATAAGATTATCTAGTAGCACCCTTCTTTATTATTTGACTCATTATTTGAACCCAAGTAAAAGTAGCACGCCATTTATCAATATAGTTTATTAATTTTTTATACCTATATTTTTAATTCATTTTTATAGATTATATATAGTTATAATCACATTGTTGTTTGTATAATATCATATTCTTGAGTGACTTAGTGAAGATTTCAAGAGTTCCTCCACATCAAGATCTGAAACTTATCCATAAAAGAATGAAATGCTTCAACAAATGTTTTGTTGATGCAGACATATAGAGACAAGTGAATGCAGAGTTTACAAATTATTTTGATGGTAGAGAAAATTTTGATGATATTAATTCCTTGAATGATAGAAGTAAAATAGATGCAAAATCTTGTAGCTAGTTCATGGTGCTCATACACTAATACTTTCAAAGGTTATTCTTAAGTTACTTAGGCAATGATGTTTATCTTCATGTTTAAAAGAAATTGGAGTATATACTCTTTTATTCATTCTATAAGAATAAACAAGACAACAACACATGAAACAGAAGATCTAATATTTGTTCATAGCAGTTTGTCTTTTTTAAAGAAAATTTTCCATAATATTATTAAGAAAAAACAAAATTGTGAGACATAAGGAAATGAGTTTGGGTTACTAGATGATTATCGAATTTTAGAAATTGCTAATTTATTTTTCGGTGAACCAAATTTAAATGTTATATTTTTCAAAAAGTAATTAAAAAAAGGAGGAAAAATGCCTTAAAATAGTTAGATGTTCTCTTACTTTTTTTGTGAGATATCTCCAAGTATTTTTTTTTGTGAGACTCCTTAGCAAATTTTATTTTTTATTTTTTATAAAAGACAAAGTTTGTGAAATGATGTTTAATACACACACATTTGAATGCATTAATCTTAACTTTCAATTTAAATTTTGTCATATTGACTATATTTAATTTTTAATGTATATAATTTATATAAAATGTGTATGCAGTGTCCTTTATTTTAAATCTTAGTGGTGCCCCCATGTTAGTGTCTATCTTGGAGTCGTTGCTTCTTGGGTATAGACTCAACTATTATAAATGTTGGAATTGCAAGTGTATTCAGTAAGAATTGGACAAAGTTCTAAGAAGTTGTGCGCAAAGAGTAAAATAAAAGAAGTGTGCTTCTACTTTAAAATATGATATATTTTAAATTCTTTATAAAGTTTCATACATGAAAGTACTATATTATTATACACCACTTTTATGCATAATTTATTTGTTCAAATTTTTTAATGTTAGAAATTGCCACTCCCAACACATAAACTAAGTTTGACACATAATACATCATTTATCATCTATGAATTTATCAATTATAGAGGTTATTGAGTGTTTGAACAAGTGTACTTGTTAAAAAGTAATAAAGAGTTCTAAAATAAATTTATGAAATATCATCCCACGAGAATTGTTTTTAAGTATCAAAAGTATCTTAATTCAATTGTTTGACCTCAAAGGATGCAAAATTAAATAAAATAAGGATTTAAATTCAACATAAATTAGAAAATAAAGAAAGTAGCACAACTTATGATAATAATCTATTTTAGATAAATTGTAGAGCATATGATTTCACTTTTACACTTCTTTATGTTTGCCTTTAGATTAATTCTAATTTTGATTCCCTTATGATTGTCAATCATTTATACTAAATTTATTAATACCTGATGGTCATGCAATATTAACAATATTTTTTCTAAGCTATTACCCTCAATGGTCATGTAAGGCAAAAAGAAAAGAAAACATAAAGAGTCTATGAATTATAATTCAATAACGGTTGAAAGAAAATAACTAAATCTGATCTACCTAATTATTTGTCTCATTTTATCCTATAAATTCATTAACTATATGTGATACAATCGTTTATAATATAATTAATTATGATATGTTTAGAATGATCAATTCTAAACATATAAATATAAGTTTGAAAGAATAAAAACCAATCAAAAAAGGAAGTCGCAATTGTCATCAAATGTGGATATCATATAAAATGTGCAAAAGATCTATTATAGTCTTAATTATGAATTTAACTACTCATAATGAAAGAAGTAAAAAATAATAATTATAAAAAAACTCATAGTCATTCGAAAAAAAAATTCAAACTAAAAAAATTCCAAGGGAATAGAGATGAGAATAGTTCTTATCCCTAAGACGTGCTATCAATCATTGCTGAGACTCTAAAAGGATATCTTACATCTTAATCAATGATTTTCACTTCTAGATAGTTCTCAAAGTTGTTACAAGTTGGTTAGGAAAAAAAATACCTCGAAGATGAACATGTTCCCATGCAATAGTAAGAAATTCTTGACGGTATCGAGCTGGAACAATCTGTTCTTCCTGAATATCTCGATTTAGTGCCAAAGAATTTCCTGTTGTTACCATATAGTATTCATCTCTATTTGGTGATAAATAAAACATGCGTATTCTTTTGGATCTCTCAGAGATTTCATAAAATGGACTTTCTATAGACTCCCAACTACCAATCCTCGCATGAGAAATGAAGATAAATTCATTTACAAAGTATCATAACCATTTATGAATGGTTGACTAGATCAGATCATGGCTGAAAAGAATATCCAAATACCAAATTCGACCTCTATATAACCTCTGCAAAGTAGAAGAAGTTCTTGGAAAGATCAAAGAAAAAATGTCTTCTTCTTCTGTAAAGAATTCTTCCAATAATTTTTCTGAATCTAATCTTTTCAAAAAAGAAGTCAGAAGCTCTCTAAAAAAAAAAGGTATTTCCAAAGGTAGAAGGTGTCCTCTTCTATTATGTGAGGCTTCTTTATATATGGTACAAAACTTACAAAAGATGATGATTGTTGCCTTTAGAAAATATGTTTTATCTCCACAAAGATACGACGTATCAAGAGAGTGAGTGATATGATTTTTTATTGTCAAATTTGAAACTTAAATTCTCTCTTCGCAAGTCCCTTAAAAAATGTATAAGTTATAAACATGGTCGTGCATACCTTCTAACACAGTTGTGCATGATCACGAAGCACTCTCAAGCTTACTGTTAAGCAAAATCGTATTTCCTATTCTAAGTGAGCATGCTTTCTATCAAAAATTTCAAGATTGTAGCCAAAATACTCCATAAGTCACTGATAATAGATTTGTCATAATTTATATAATTAATGAATAAATTAATGTATAATCTTTATCAAATAGGAATTAAACATATAAAAATAAGCCATAAAAATATGTTAAAATATGAGCTTATTATTGGACTTTATCATTTATAAATCATAATACATTATTTGAATCATTTACTTTATAAATTTTAAATACACTTAAACTTTTAAGTTTTCTTAATAACAAGATCAAATTAAAAATCAGTATATCAATTATATTATTAAGAAGTTTGGACCAATCTAAAAGAATATATAATAGAACTAGATTAAAAAAATTATTTTTTAAAAAACATTAGTAATTTGACTTATATTTTTTAATGATACGTACATCTCAATTATTATAATCTTTAAAAATTATTAAATAACATTTTTTATATTACTTTCATATGTTATGATTATCAATTAATTTCAAAATCAAATATTAAAAATTATATTCACTTAAATTTACGTTTAATCATAGTTAATTATATATGCATTTTTAAAATGTAGAATATTAATTGATGATAATAAATCACTACTCACCATTAATAATATATTCTTCGAAACTTATAACACTTAAGTATCTAATATTTTTAAAATTATATATTTTTATTTAAATTTTATCTAATTTTAATTTTATTATTTTTAAACATTTTGAATTCAAATTAAATAATTAAAGATCATGTTAATTAATCTGAATATATATATATATATATATATATAATATAAGTATTATAAAGTTTTTTTATACAATAATATTATATATTATGTTTATTATATTTTTTACTTGCATAACATTATATAGTTTTAAATTATTTACAATATATAAATAATTATATTAGAATAAAGTATCAATTTGGTCTTCAAAATTACACTAATGTATCAATTTCATTTGTAAAATTGTAAAACTTTCATTTTAGTCCTCTAAATTTTAAATTTTGTTTCACTTTAGTCTCCTGAGTTAAATGGCATTGACTGTGGTACTAAAAGAAATGCTAAACTGACTGTTACATATAACTATTTTAAATTAGTCCACCCAACTTAAAATTATGTTTCAATTTAGTCTTTTCTATTTCAATTTTTTCTTTTTCTTCATTCTTCCTCTAAGTTCTTCCTTTTTGTTCTTCAGCTTAAACATTCATTTTCTTCACCAAAATCACAGTGAAGAGATTGATCATAGGTGGAGAATTCGATTTGAAAGTTGTGTAATGTCTTCAAATTTATAAGGAAGCCATAGTGGATCAATTTTAGGGAAGTAAGTAGAGGTGGAGCATGGAAGTTTGGCTTATGTGGCTTCAAGCTAGTACTTAAAATCTCTAAAACTCAAGAGAATCCTGGTAAACCATTCTATAGTTGTACTGAGTACTTTGTTTTGATATTGTTTTATGGGTGTTGATGTTTATATATTTTATGTTTTTGTTTTTTAAGAATCTTAGTAACTTCAAGCCAGTACTTACTTTTTTTTTTTTAATTACAAGAAGGAAATCATTGTAACTATTTTTTGGTGGGTTGATGATAAGGTGGTGGGTGTGTTTGAAGCTACAAATGATGGTATCATAAGTGATATTTAGGAAAGAAAGATTAATTTAGCTTGAAAAATTAGGTGTTTAGAGACTTAAATTAGAAATCTATACAAAATTATTGTTGTAATGTTTATTGTGATCATTATTGGTTTCACAGTGTTGAGCTTAGTATGTTTAAGTTTAAGAAAATAGTGATTGTAAGACTTTGGGGGTGTTGGAAATGTTAAATGTTACATTAAACCAATGTAATCAACAATATGTAAGAAATTAAGCAATTTTGATGATTTTTTTGTGCAATTTTTTTCTCATTTTATTTCATAGTGTTAAACTCATTTAGCTATGCATGCAGGCTGAATTTGTTGTAAATTATTATGAAAACAACAACAAAAAATATATGAGAATAGCAACAAAAGCTTAACATAAACAACAAAAAAGCTTAATTATGGTTGCATTATATAAGTAATAATATTTTGAGATTGGAATGTTGAAAAAATGTAGTGCTCTATATGTGAATGATATTGGAAATGAGAATGAAGTTATAATTTGCGATTTGATTTGACATTAGAGGCTCAATTTAAGTTTTAAGATTAAAATAAAATTAAAAATATAATAAAAAGGAAAAGAAAAACTGTAAGAAAGAAGAATATTGGAGAAGAGAAAAGAAGATAAATATTGGTAATAAATGTCATAAATAAATAATATGGTTCAAGGATCAAATCAAACCATATTAGTACAATTTTAAAGATTAAATTGAGATTTTACAGTTTTATAGATAAAATTAATACAACTGAATAATTTTATAAATCATATTAATACTTAACCAAATTATTAAGTTTATTCATAGATTAATTTAAAAATAATAATTTAAGTGTTGTTGATATTATTTATCGGTTATAATTAAAAAATTATTTTATTAATCTACGATAATATTAAATATAATTATTTTGTTGAAATAAAATTCAAATTTTAGTTAATAAACACTTAAAAGTTTTGTCATTAATTTAAAACGTCTGATTTCATAAAAAAGAAGGCCCCTATACCTTTGTGGGTAAACCCTTGCGTTTCTCCACAGGCAACACGTTGCAATCCGCACTCCCCTAAAGTAGAGTCCAGCAAAACACTTAGGGGTTACAGCAAGCGGAAGCCTAGCTAGCTCGCACCGTCATATCTCTATGTTCCACTCCCTACTGTTCTTCTTATAAATGCCCCATTGCCTTTTACGCCCCACTCTCTACATTCCCTTCATACACCCGCCCGCTCCCAAACTTTCCCCCGCCAACCTTCGGATCTCCCCCACCATCATGTCCTACCGCCCCAACTATCAAGGCGCAGGCCGCAGGGGCGCCTCCTCCTCCGGTCGCGGCGGAGCACGCCGTGGAGGCGGCGGAGGCCGTGGCGGCGGGCGCGGCGAACAAAGATGGTGGGACCCTGTTTGGCGCGCTGAGCGCCTTAGACAACAACAAGCCGAGGTACTAAATTCAAATTCAATTTTAATTTCAATTTTGTCAATGTACTAACCTTTATTGTTGTTGTTGTTGTGTGTTTGATAATGCATAGTGCAAGTTGAATTGTGCTTTCATTAATGATTTTGTGATTTGCAGAAGGAGATGCTTGATGAGAATGCGTGGTGGGGAAAGATAGAGAACATGAAAAGAGGAGGGGAGCAGGAGATGATCATTAAGCGTCACTTTAGTGTTGCAGATCAGAAAACCCTAGCTGATATGGCTTACCAGCATGGACTATACTTGTATGTTCATTACATACTTTGAACTGCATCATCATTTAGCTAGAAAGTTAATTGTGACTGTACTTTCAAATGCGCGATGTTTTTCTTGTGTGCGTTCTTGGTTTAGAGGGAGAAATGAAGAGTTATAGTGATTGTTTGTTTTGCGGTTAGATTCATCAGAATTGCTTTTTAATGAGTAAATGAATGGATAAAATAAAAAGTGCACAATTTACGAAGTTCAGTGTATGGCTAGTAAGATCCTACAAAATTCTTAATATCTATCCACGCCGGACATGTAAAATAGCATAAATAAGAAAAAAAAGACTTAATCATAAATTCATAATTCTTAATTTATGAGGTCATACATAATTCATAAAACAAGTAACAACTTAAATTAACATGCACAAACAGCCACAACCGTAGACAAAATTGAGAGAGAGAGAGCAGAGCGAAGAGCAGCAGCAGTGTTGCACAGTAGCAGGACGAAGCAAGTAGTAGGTTGCAGAATGAAGCTTAGCAGTTTGCAGATATCTGCCTTGCAGGTTACAGGCTGCAGGTTGCAGGTCAAAGCTCATGCGGAGACCAAAAGAGGCGATGTTGGGCATCATACTCTATGGGAATGAGTGGGCGAGTAGTGGGTAAGAGAACCAAGGCAGTAAGTAGCAGAGATGAGACCTTTGTTTGTGTTTAGGGTTCTGATTTGGTCTCATTCGATTTTAGGCTTTAGGTGCTTGTTTAACAAAGCGGGTTGCCAAACTAGGTCACAGGTTTTACGGTTTAAAATAAAAATTCAGGCAGGATAGGATTGAACGTTTCTGCCAATTTATGATCTTTGCATGCGGTTCAGCATGGCCAAAGCATGTGAAGATTGTAGAATTGTGCGATTCTATGAGCCAGCACACGATTTTAATTACCATGCCTCTATCAATCAGGCCCATAATCATTGATTATGAAGATATTCATGTGCCAGTTGTTATTTTCTCACCTTAGAGGGAAAAGGCTTTTGTTGTTGGTTATAATTCCTCATTTTCCATATGGAATAGACTTCAGTGTGAGCCAAATTTACTTGTCCTAATATACTTGACACACTTGAAACAACAGTAAATTACAATAACTAGGCTTTGTACAAAATAAATCAATAATCAATATGAATCATAGATTTTTAGTTTAACAAATTGTTGATTTTTTGGATACATTTTCAGCTTTAGCAACTCAGCAACACATATATTTCAAATAAAGGTTCTGTTTGTGGAATTATATTGGTTAGAAAGGAGGTTGGTGAAATGGCCTAGCATGGAGATTGGGAATGGTAATGGTAGGCTAAAATGCATGTAAAAATGGCCTTGCTGGGATTTGCAGCTGGGATCAAGCAGTCCACAAAGGGACTTGGTGCCACACTGCCACTAGCTCTTGGATAAATATGTTATATTTAAATACAAACAATTGGCTTGATTTCTCCTCCCAAACTGTGGCATGGACTGTTTTTTTTTTGTTGTTGTTGTAATATGCACTAAGTACTAACCAAATGGTACAGCAATCAATGTTTGGTTTGGATTTGTTTAAGTTCTTTACTTAGTCTGGTTGATTCTTTGACTACCCTAATGTGCATACTGTATTTATACTAGCAGTCATATGAAGTTATCTAGAAGTAAGGGCTATTGGCTAGCCAACTATATCATGTAACATAAATTTCTGAATCCATGACTGTAATTGAACTTGTCAAAATAATCATATTTGTCATAGAATGTGATACTGAGCATAGATTGACTCTACTTGTGAACATCTTGAGCTTAATCATAATTTTTTGCCTAATATCTTATTAACCTGATTTGTACTTGGGCAAAGAAAGCCATGCTTATAATAAGGGGAAGACTCTTGTTGTTAGCAAAGTTCCATTGCCTGATTATCGTGCAGATCTTGATGACCGCCATGGATCAACACAGAAGGAGGTGGAGTATACCTACCCCATTTCAATGTCTGATTATCAATTGCCTGTTGTAAATTCTAGATATGTGCTAACTGTGTTCAGTTTTCTGCAGATTAGAATGTCCACAGACATTGAGAGGAGAGTAGGAAATCTTTTGAATAGCTCACAATCAATGGGGGCAGCTCCTACAAGTTTTCCTTCTGTATCAACTGACCCTGGACATAAACAATCAGTGTCCACTATAAAACCTACTTCTTCACGACAGACTGATTCTTCAAAGGAAAAACTTAGTGTTGCACTCAAGGAAAGGCAGGAACGTGTACAGGTACCTAAGCATTTGGCAGTAATTTACCATAATCTAATATCATTTGTTTGTATCAATTGTGACAATTACTTGGTCACTTGATGCTGTATTTTGAACTAATATCAGGATTGGATATTATTATGTGCAGGCTAGTGATAGTTTGAAGGAAATGAAATTATTTAGGGAGAAGCTTCCTGCATTTAAAATGAAGTCTGAGTTTCTAAAAGCTGTTCAAGAAAATCAGGTGGGCAGATATTCTATCTATCATGACAAAGATGTCTTTTTTAGCATAGTTTATTGACTTGATTCATAATAGGTAATAATATCTGTACATCTTAATGGAAATAAGAAAAAGGAAAAACATTTTCACTAGATCTACAAGTGGAATTAATTGTCTATATGATCCATGGTCTGTTTGCACTTCTTTGATTACCTTGCCTGTAATTGTTGCTGAATTATCATCAGTTCAAGTCATTATAATAATTATACTTGTGGTTCTACAACAGAGTAAGATTTGGCTCATGTTTGCACAGGTATTAGTAGTTTCAGGAGAGACAGGTTGTGGCAAAACAACACAACTGCCACAATTCATTCTTGAAGAAGAAATATCTTGTTTACGTGGAGCTGATTGCAACATAATTTGTACTCAGCCTCGTCGTGTATCTGCAATTTCTGTTGCAGCACGAATATGTGCTGAAAGAGGTGAGAGTCTTGGCGAAACAGTTGGATACCAAATTCGTCTTGAATCAAAACGTTCTGCAGAAACACGCCTTCTCTTCTGCACCACTGGTGTGTTACTTCGGCAGTTGGTCAGTCTCCAGTTTTTAAGATACCAGTTCTTGTCCAAATTTTTTAAGTTCAGCTCTTTCTTCAATTGCCACTAATTGATGATTGTCTGAGGTTTCAATGTGCCCTCTGCTATGTTTCCTGCATTTTTGTGGGTGGGGGTTGCTGAAGAGGAGGTTGCATGCCACTTACTGATAGTAAATATAAAACCATTCATGAACATTCAACAGCATAAACTTTGGAGAGTATTGATATAGTACCTCTATTACCAAATCGTCAGGAATTTATTTTGTGTCCCTATTATTCCAATTAAAAGGAAATTGAATTTCAGCACAAGGTTAGTTTGTGCATTGTGAACACTTGTCCCAAGTGCTCTTTTGTGAGCAGTAGTGTTAGATATACAACCAATCATGAGTCTTCATTTAGTAGCTGATTGACACTTTCTGCCTACAGATTGAGGTAGTGGTGCTTGTATATAACATAAAATTATAATAGTTAGTTAATTACAAGATTTCTCTACCTCAATTGTAGTCTTTAATTTGAAAGAGGAAAAATATAAAGTTAATAATTTTGCAGCCGCATATTGGATTGGATTACACACGACGAATAATTTTGCAGCCGCAAATTGGATTTTCATAACTTCATATATTCTTCCTAGCAACCGGTGGCCTTGACTTCTTTATTCTGGCTTTGTCGTTAAATAGGTACAAGACCCAGAGTTGACTGGTGTTAGTCATTTGGTGGTGGATGAAATTCACGAAAGAGGCATGAATGAAGACTTCTTAATTATAATTTTACGTGACCTTCTTCCCAGACGTCCAGATTTACGTCTCATTCTGATGAGTGCCACTATTAATGCTGATTTGTTCTCAAAGTACTTTGCAAATGCCCCAACAATACACATACCAGTATGCATTATTTTTAGATTTCATGTTATTTATATTTTTAGATTTCAATGGAAATAAGGTATTCCTTTTTAATTTTATTTGGACATATATGCCAGGGATTTACTTTCCCTGTGGCAGAGCACTTCCTAGAAGATGTGTTGGAGAAAACTCGATATAACATCAAGTCAGAGTTTGACAATTTTGAGGGGAATTCAAGGAGAAGAAGGAAACAGCAGGATTCAAAGAAGGATCCTTTGATTGAAATGTTTGAGGCATGTATATTTGATCCATCAATCCAGTCAAGTGAAATCTTGTATTCTTTAGTGATTTGTTGAATTCTAAACAACCCCCCCCCCCCCCCCCGCGTCTCTGCTCTTCTTTTTCCAGTGTTACGTATTCAGTTTGTGGTAGTTGCAGAATCAATATGGTGTTGGGGTAAAAAAAATTTTCCCTTTTCTAGAAGGTTGTTTTTGGAAGACCATGAAATGAAAGTAGTTTCTAGTTGTTGTGGAAAGTCAGTTAGCAATTTCCCAAGAGATTCTCTTTCGCCTGTTAATGTTATTGAGGGATAGAATTTGAAGACAGACAAGACAGTTTGCTTCAATTATTGGATGTTAGTTGGGTCATATGCTGATTTGGGGCATACTTGTCTGAGGAATAGCTTGTTGACATTTAGATGCACTCTTTCTTTGTTATGCATCTCTCTCTCTCTCTCTCTTCTAATAAAACTTTTATCAAAATGGAAAAACCAAAACTTAATAATATTTCACAAATTCAGTGGTCAAATCTTTTTAGCAAATAAAACATTTGAGTCTTTTCTTGTTATTAGTGATGTGTTCAATATCTTGTTTATTAAATGTTTTTACATATTTGCTGTCTGCAACTGTTACTAATGGGCTCATCCCTTGCCATTGTCTCTGTTTTGTACATATGCTCACACTTCTCTTTGCTCTTACAGGATGTTGATTTAGATGCTCATTACAAAAATTACAGCTTGGGTGTTAGAAAATCTATTGAAGCTTGGTCAGGTTCACAGATTGATTTGGGTTTGGTATGCATATGCACCTTTTTTTTTAATATTTTGCTGGGCTATTATCTTTTTATATTTCTCTATTAGCGTAAGAAGCTTAGAGAGAAGTTATGTGGTCAAGATGCATTGAAAGTTTGAATATTTTTGCTGCAGCAAAAATAAAAGTCTGCACAAAAGTATTTGGGAGAAATTGTGCTGTATACTCAAAAGTTCATCTTATTTATACAATGAGTGCATAAGTGTAGGACTTATCGGAGGACTAACTACAGAGATAATTAACAGCTATTAACTACAGTTTCATGCAACCCTAATATTCTATCATGTGCTAAATATGCTAATGAATCTAGATTAGTATTCTAACAATCTTCTACTTGACTTTCCTCCTTGTCAATGAATTGTGCATGACTGCATTCTGTTTCTCTGTCACAACTGTTACTTTGTTTCTTACCATTTTCCTTACATGAGTGGTTCTATGCTTTTATTAAAATTTATTGAATTTGTTGAATCAACTGGCACAATTGCTTTCATGATTCATGTTCCTTGTGCTGATTCAAATCCTTTTTTCATGCCTGTTTCAATTTAATTACTGTGATGTTTCAGGTTGAGGCAACAATTGAATATATATGTTGGAATGAAGGTGGTGGAGCAATTCTTGTATTTCTAACGGGCTGGGATGAAATTTCTAAGCTACTTGACAAACTTAAAGGAAATAACTTACTTGGAGACTCTAGCAAGTTTTTAATCCTTCCTTTACATGGCTCAATGCCTACCATCAACCAATGTGAAATATTTGACCGTCCTCCCCATAACAAAAGGCAAGGATATTCTCTTGCTAATTTCATCATATAGACAGATTTCTATTTTGGAAATATGCTTGAAAAAGTTGAGTAGAAAGCTGAGAAGCTGTAATGTATATATAAACGGGAGAATGACTGGGCCAGAAATCAAAACCAGCATGTTGGACATTGACTGGGGAACTGGTGAATGGAAACCAGATAGTCTTGCTTGATTTTTTTTTCAGAAAGTTTTCCTGTATAAATTGTACCTGCTAACTTACGAACATTGTTTAGATAGTTAGCATCCAATAGAATTTATTTTATTCATAAAAAATCTAAGGTGGGCACAAATGTGATGGTCTGAGCTTAACCTGTCTTTGAAGTATAATATTCAGAAAAAGGCTGCAATGTTTTCACTATATTTAATATTATATACATCTAATGTTGAATATTATTGAGCATCAGTGTCGATTTGTCAAATTTAAACAGCTGATGTATGAAATCATGAACATGTTACTTGCTAAAGGAAAATTGTTTCAATGGGGAAAAAGTTGTCATAAGGCATGACTGTTCAATTTATTTGAAATAACTATGGACGTTAGCTAGTTATTGAATAGCCATATATTTTGGATGGCACTTTGGATAGTATTTGTTCTTGATTTGTTCTTGAAGTTCTAATATTGTTTGCCTATCTATCATGATCACATGCTTATGATGTTTAGCCCCTCCAAAGTTCAAATGGTTGAGTGGAATTTAGTCTTATACTCTAAAAAGAATTTTTAAAATCTTCCTTTTTGTGTGTCATTTGATGGATATAATGTGAAGAATTGCTACCCTGCATAGTAAAACTCTTGAAAAGCCCAACTTCTTATCATGGTCTTTTTTCTACTTTTATGTGGCATTTTACTGTATTGAGTCTATTGACCATGTTAATTGACTTGTTGTAATGTACATCAGATGCTTGGTGAAGATGTGGGTATTTTGCTCTCATACATATATATTTGATTCTCTCATCATTTTAGCATCTAGGTTTTGATTGTTTGTTATTTTGCTGTTGTAGAAAAATTGTGCTAGCAACAAATATTGCTGAGAGTAGTATCACCATAGATGACGTTGTGTATGTCATAGACTGTGGCAAAGCAAAGGAGACCAGCTATGATGCTCTAAATAAGCTTGCGTGCCTGGTACCATCATGGATTTCAAAGGCTTCAGCTCATCAGGTATTGGAAGTTAACATAAATTTTTACAACATACAGGGTTGTCTTTGCTGAATCCCTTAATTGCTAAATGTTGTGTTTGACCAAAGCTAATCCTCCCCCCCCCTCCATTTCCAAAAACAAAAGACAGAGAAACACTGAAACTGAGTAACGTACAATGTTTTACATTTACTAATGAGTAGACTTTTTCAGAGACGTGGTCGTGCTGGTAGAGTGCAACCTGGAGTTTGTTTTAGGTTGTATCCAAAATTGATCCACGATGAAATGCCCCAGTATCAGTTAGCAGAAATCCTCCGAACACCTTTGCAAGAATTGTGCCTCCATATTAAAAGTTTGCAGCTTGGAACTGTCGGATCATTTTTAGAAAAGGCACTTCAGCCACCAGATCCTTTAGCTGTTAAGAATGCTATTGAACTTCTCAAAACAATTGGGGCATTAGATGATAAGGAGGAGCTTACTCCACTGGGTATATTGTGCTGGATATGCTTGTCTTCATAAGCTGTTGAGTCTAGGCTTTGGATGTTATCTGAGCTAGTTTTATCTTTACAGGTCAACATCTTTGTAGCATACCTTTGGACCCAAATATCGGGAAGATGCTTCTCATGGGCTCTATCTTTCAGTGCCTCAATCCTGCCTTAACTATTGCTGCTGCTCTTGCTTACCGCAATCCATTTGTCTTGCCTATAAATAGAAAAGAGGAAGCTGATGCTGCAAAACAATCTTTTGCCGGTGATTCTTGCAGGTTGGTCACTGATAGTGTTCAAGAAAATACCCCTTTCTTGTGTTCATTCAAATTTTACTGCGTTGGCCATGCCTGTGCTTTCTTAATTATAAATATATTTTTGATTCAGTGATCACATAGCCCTTCTCAACGCATTTGAAGGATGGAAGGAGGCAAAACGTAGTGGGAATGAAAAGCATTTTTGTTGGGATAATTTCCTATCCCCAGTAACCTTGCGGTTGATTGATGATATGAGAATTCAGTTTCTCAATTTATTATCTGACATGGGATTTGTTGACAAGTCCAGGGGTGCTAATGTAAGCCCGTAGTCCCAACTGGTTTTTCTTTCCAACTGAAATATTTTTCCCCAACTTTCTCCCAATTTAGTTTCCCTCTCTTCTGAAAGTAAACAAGTATACTGAATATCTAAATTCTGAACAAGGACTAGGAGAGTGGTGACCAATCATAATGTATGTCATTGCAGGCTTACAACCAGTACAGTCATGATTTGGAGATGGTTTGTGCAATTCTTTGTGCTGGGCTCTACCCTAATGTTGTGCAGTGCAAAAGAAGAGGAAAACGGACAGCATTCTACACTAAAGAAGTAGGGAAGGTTGACATCCATCCTGCTTCTGTTAATGCTGGGGTTCATCTCTTCCCTCTGCCATACATGGTATATAGTGAAAAGGTGAAAACAACCAGCATCTATATTAGAGACTCTACAAACATTTCAGATTATGCCTTACTTCTATTTGGTGGTAATCTCATCCCTAACAAAAGTGGCGAGGGCATTGAAATGCTAGGTGGTTATCTTCATTTCTCTGCTTCAAGGAGTGTTATTGAGTTGATAAGGGTAATCTCCCTCTATCCTTTCCCACCAAATGTCCAATGCTTTGTCTTTATAAATTTGATTTGCGCGCCCCCCCCCAATGTGAACATAACAATCTCATGGTAATGGGACATGCAGAAATTGCGTGGGGAGCTTGACAAACTTCTAAATAGAAAAATTGAAGAACCAGGATTGGACATTTCTGCTGAAGGAAAGGGAGTGGTTGCTGCTGCTGTTGAGTTGCTGCAGAGTCAAATCGTTAGATAATTTCTTTTTACGGGACTGACAGCATGTTGTTGAGTCCTGCCATTCGTTAGCCATCATAATTAGCATAAGTTTTGGCGATTTTGGTAGCAGTTTTTATTGATCGCTAGCAATATTATTTATCTAGAATGTATATGTGCAATAATTGTGTTTTCTTTGGCTAGGAAGGAGATACTAATGGAAAAAAGCCATGGGTCGAATTTCACAATAGATTCTTCTCATAAAGGAAACTGGGTAGCCTTAGGCAACATATAGCAATAATTCTTTCTTTGGTGGATTACATACATTATTTAGGCTATCTGTAGCAATGTTTGACGTAGTTGTCATTTCTTACCACAAATTGTTTACTTCATACAATTCATAAACCTCAATACTACTATCAAGCAGCCAAATTTCCTTAATGCAGCAAGCCATTCAAGAAGAGATCACAACATTGGAAGCCAGTCAGACTTGGTCAATCATTTCTCTTCTACTTGAAAAACATGCAATTAGTTGTAGATTGATCTATAAAGTCTGAACAAAACCATCAATAAACATTAAAAACTTCCCTAGTTGCTAAAAAATACACTTAACAAATAGGCATCGATTTTCAGGACACTTTCTCACTTATTTGCAGAACTAACAACAATTCAAGTCCTTCTATCATTAGTGGCAACTACAGGTCAAAACTTCTTCAATTTGACATAAAAAATACTTTCCTTAATGGAGAGTTATTCGAGTAAGTGTAAATGGGACATCCTTCGAGATACAACTGCGGAGGAGAATTTAATATGCAAATGGTTTGATAAATCTAAGGTTGTTTTTGGACGAGATAATTTAAAAATTTTATTATTTGCATAGAATAATTACATTACTTACATTCTTAAAAAAATAAAATTATATTATATTTGATAAAAATAATAATAAAAATATGAAATTTAAATTATTAAATTAATCATAACTAAATAAAAATATGAATGAAACTTATAATAATAACAAAAATACAATTTCAAATTCTTATTTTTTTTTATGATTTATATAATTTTATTTTAGTCAATTTAAAATTTTCATTAAAATTCTTAAAATTTTGAATTATTTAAAATTCAACATCTAAATAAAAAATTTTATAAAATAAATTATATACTTAAAATATTTCATCTGAACACAATATAAGAGGAATAACTCTCTATTCACTACTTAGGTTACATAAATGACATTATAATAAGTTATTGGATTATATTAGGATATGAGATATATTTTAATAATGCAAATTCACTTACTATAAGTAAGTGATTTATTGGATATAAATCCTTTAGCAAAAATTGGATGTTCAGTTTTATTTTTGTTTAAAAAAAGATACATAAAACAACAACAAAATTATGAAAAAAAATTTTAAATGGATTCCCTATAATCCCTGTGAAGAGGGACGCAAGAGGGAGGTGGGTGTGGAAGGTTGACAGGAATGGGAGGAAGGCTAGGTAGGGATAGATGTGGGAGAAAAGCAGGTGGGTGTGAGGGGTGAAAATGAGTATAAAGGGATAGGGAAAAAGTGAGAAAGTTGAATACAGAAGAAGAAGGAAAGTTGGATACAAGAGAGGGAGAGAAGATTGGGGAGGGGGAAGAGGGAGGTTGGGAAAGAGGAGCAGGAGTAAAGGAGGTTGAGTATAAAGGGAGAGGAAGAGGGGGTGGGGATGAGGGGAGGGAGAGAGGTTAGAGAGAGTTTGTGAGAGGCATTAGCCAGACATGCAAAATTTGCTAAAGTAAATTTATAATAATTTTTTTTATAGTTTTATATTTTTGCTTAAGTGAGTCTATTTTTGTTTAAACAAAAAGAAAATTGGACGTCGAATTTTTATTTTAATAGAAAAAGATTCGGATCTGATTTATTGTTGACATTAGCATAATGATAGGAATTTGAGTAATTTCATGTATACATAGTAGTACGTGAATAAGAGAAAATCAATAGAATATTTCTAGTTTTCTATTTATAAGCTAGTCATAATTCCAATTTGATTAATTAAGTTTAAGAAAAACTACAATAACTATTCAAACTGAAAGTGCTAGGAGATCTCAAATATTTCTTAGCCTAATTGTTTGGATTAGGCATCTCCCCAAAAAAATACACAATTTTATTATCAGCAAACATTATTTGCAATGGATTTGAATTTAAAACTTAACCTAAAAGTGGTGAATCCTTCACAATATTACAAACTTATTGAAAGCCTTTTTTATACTTAAGATATCAAGACGTAACATTTGTTATGTTGGAAAAAGATAATTTATGTCTGCTCCTTAAGTAGCTCCCTCGGATCCAAGACATTACCTTATTCTATATCTCTAGTCAACATTTGGACAAGGCATATTTTTTTCCTTCCAATTCCCATTTCATCCTAAAAGCTTATGTAGATGCAAACAGGAAAAATTGTTTTGATACCTGTGAATCATTCTAGTTATTGTGATATTTTAGGTGAATATTTTCTTGATATTTTAGAAATAAAAAAATAGCAAGTGGTGTTTCGATCTCCATCAAAGACATGATATCGTTCTCTTTCCAATGTTACCAGTAAATTTTTTTGATTGATTACACTTGTGAAAGCTTTTCAACTTTTGGGTGGATCAGCTTTACACTTCTATGCAGTTAAATATGCAATTCATTTTAGTAACGGATTCAAAAACCATTCAAAGGGGGGCCGAAAGAAAATAAATTTAATAATAAACCTTAAAATATACCAGTATATTACTAATTCTTGTATTCAAGAAGAATGGTGAAAAATAAAAAAGAATCTAGAAGAAAGACTGTTTCTTTCTCTCGTTGTCGTCTGTCTTGCTAAGTCATTGTTGCTTGGAGTTGGACAAAAAAAACTTGAAATGTGATAAGCACTGATGATAGAAATTAAAAGAAAATATATAAAAAAAAAATGAGATTTTCACTTTGCTTATTGGATAAGCTTTCAAATTCAACTCCTAATACAAAAGACAAAGAGTAAACTAACGTAGTAATGTTACTGAGTGTGATACGGTAGTGGGCCAAAGAGAATTGTACTCAAATAGCCAATTTTTTATTAATTTCTTAAAGTCAATATTAATGTTTCGTATTCTGAGAGCAAAGGGGTTATACTAATGGTAATATAACAAACAAATATAATATTATATAAAGGAAATGAAGATGAAATGGAAAAAAAATACCTTATTTATTTCTTTTCCTTTTGCTGCATCCAATTTGTCTCTCATTAATTCAATAGCAAGGTCATGAAGTCAGATATCTAATTATGCACACAAACTTGATCTTGTTTGTGGTCAGCATCAAGGAGCACATCAGTGATAGATCCAAATGTCTTCTTAAGCGCTTCCAACTAAACAAATATAACAAAGAGGGGGCCCAAGCCCCACCTTACCCCCTTGTATCCGTCACTAATTCATCTATCTTCTAATCCTATTTTCCATTAATAATATAAACACATTGAAATTGACAAGCTATTTCATTTAGAACAAAGTTAATGATAGCTCCGTTAGAGTTTTATATTAACTTTGAATATTAAGCTAATTGACATTCTAACCAAATTGCTTTTTGTTATATTATCTTTCAATCCTTGTTATTATTACCACATATAGGTATTTCAACTTCTATTGTCCATCTTGATTTATATAAGTTTGTTGGTGATATAAATCAATTATGAACTTTTCAAACTTTTGAAATATTTTTTATTACATGCATGTCACTTTGTTAATATATATAGATTGTGAACAACTGTTCAGTTGAAATTTCTTTAAAAAAATTGTCACTTCTTTAAGATTTTGTTTGAAATTTAAATTTTAAATAAAAAATAAAAAAATTATTTTATATTTGGTAAATAAGAGGTGAAATTTTTATAAATCCACAAAAAAAATTATCTTAAATTTGTGTTTTTAATTACTCTTAAAATGAAATATTTTTTTGTTAATCTCCTTCTTCCTCTTGTAACTCTTATAAATAAGACTATTTTTAAAAAAAAATTATTTATTATTCAATATAATTTTTTAACTTCAAATAATTAATTTTAAATTTAGTATTAATTTAAAATTTTATTTGTTCATAATTTAAAATTTTCTCTTTATTAATATTTATTTATTTTCTTCATTATTATTAATATTTCTTTTATTTTATTTTTAATTTATAAAATTTATTGAATTTTAAAATAATCGTACCATAAACTTAAAAACACATTAACTATTATAAATATCACAACACTAATAATCATTCAATAATACAATTTAAAATACTTGTAGTAAATTAATATTTTGTCATGTTATCCCATTTTATATTTTAAAATTGAAAAACAATAAATTTTAGGACTTGTTTGATTTAGTTTTTAAAAATTATATTTTAAAATTATTTTATAAAATTATCTTTAGAAAAATAATAAAAATAAATTTTGTTTGATAATTTAACTTTTTTTTTTTTGGCTATTGAAGGAGGCTAAAAGCCCAAACAAACACAAAATTAGGAAGCCAATATAAAGGTCCAAATGCCTAAAGAATCAACACAAAGGAAGGAGAGAAGGGAAGAGAGGCCTAAATTAATATAGGAGAAGACAAGGAATCATTTAGGCCTAGTTTGACTAAATGATCAGCACATTGATTTGCTTCCCTATAAGCATGACTAAATCTAACAAATTCAATAGGTTTAACAACATTTCTAATCCTAAAAATTAGGTTATATAAAGGATGAGCATAATCTTAGACATTGAGGATAAGAGATAAAGCTTTTTTAGCATCAATCTCTATCCAAATGATGTGAATTCCTTTTTGAGAAACAAGTTCTAGCCTCAACAGAATACTCAACATCTTAGCTACTATAAGAGGGCAGGGGTCCAATTTCTTGCAAAAACCGAAGAGGAAGAAGCCATGATCATTCCTGATTAAACACTCTCAAGTAATAACATCTTTTATTAGAGAAACAGTCCCATCAACATTAAGTTTCCATTGGTGAATAGAGGGTGAAATTCGTCTTTACTTGTTTTAAAAAAGACTCAGTTGGGTTATCATGGTAGTTAGCCAAGGCCTTAAAATCAGAAAAAAAAAAATCTAAATAAGAGCCAAGGGCTGGACAGAATAGTTATTAAAAATAAAGTTATTTTTATACTTCCACAGGTTCCAAACAATAATGCCAAATAAGCTTTCGCAATTGGAAAATTTACCAAGATTCTTGTTAGACGGGTTAAGCATTAACCAATAAAAAATACTTCTACTAAAGAAAGTAACCCACTACTCAGGAAAAATAAAATATTCTCAGACATCCTTAATATAACCATAATCCCAAATAACATTGATAATAGATTCCTCATCATCATGACATCTAGTGTAGAGAAAAGAAGATGACATACCTCACTTGCATCTTTCA